GAATTCAATTAATTGAATAATGGGTGACACGGTGTCTCAGTGGCTAGCACTGTTGCCTCACAGCAAGAAGGTCGCTGGTTCGAGTCCCGGCTGGGTCAGTTGGCATTTCTATGTGTAGTTTGCATGTTCTCCCCGTGTTGGCATGGGTTTCCCCCACAGTCCAAAGACATTGCTGTAGGTGAATTGAATAAATTAAATTGGCCGTATATCGCAGTAATGGGTTGCAGCTGGAAGGGCATCTGTTTCATAAAACTTATACTGGATAAGTTGGTGGTTCATTCCGCTGTGATGACACCAGATTAATAAAGGGACTAAGCCGACGGAAAATGAATGAATGAAATTGGCGGTAGTGTATGTGTGTGAATGAGTGTGCATGGATGTTTCCAAGAACTGGGTTGCAGCTGGAAGGGCATGTGTAAAACATATGCTGAATTAAGTTGGTGGTTCATTGTGCTGTGGTGAGACCTGATGAATAAAGGGATAAAGCTGAAGGAAAATGAATAAATGAATAATCAAATATGAACAAGAATTACATCAATAAATGATGCCACATTTGCTTAAATCATTTGTTAAAACAAGCCTATAAATATAGATGAGATTAGATATAATAATGGTGCCATTTAATAAAATAGTTAATACATGTGTAATTATTGTTTTAAAAAGAAACAAACTATTTTTCAAATATCATTTAAATTTATTTCTAATATTAATTTTTCACAGTATAAATTGGATCTTTATTCAAGACTTGATTCTCTGTTGCTGCAGCCAGGTTTATTCTATGAGGAAAGCTTCCCCACTGGCGAGTTTTAAGATGTTAAAAACTCTTCTTTTTCAGGTTGCACTTTTAGATTCTTGATCATTCCAATGTGTTTATATTTTATCAACGTTGAATCGTTGTATTTTATTTCGTGTTTGATTTTCTCTGCTGTCGGAGCGCTTGGGTTTAAGAAAATGATAAATAAAAATAAAAACGTATTATTATTATTATTATTACTATTATTAAGACACCATTGAGATGAATTTTACGTTTTATGATGTGGTCCCTCTCCTAAAGATGATAGTATTTGGGGGTACATTGAAAACGTATGGTAACCTATATAAAGCATATACTACTACTCAAAACTTTAGGGACATTACATTATTTAAATCCTGTTTCAGCAAGTATTAATTCAACTTATTAGAAGTAACAATGAAACATGATGCTGTACAATATTTAGAATTTTTATAAACGCTGCTCTTTTGACCTTTTTTACTCGCCAAAAAGCATGGTTTCCAGAAAATAAATATTAAGCACAATTGTCAACTAAAATAAAAACAAAAGTTTATTTAAATGATTTCTGAAGGATCATTTGACACATTTTTTATCAAGTGTCTTTTATGTTGCAAAGATTATTGTTAAGAACTAAATTGGCTGTTGTGCATGAATGTGTGTGTGTGCGTGTGAATAAGAAATTCGTATGGGTCTTTTCCAGTACAGTTCTGGGTTGTGGCCACTGCGTAAAAACATATACCAGAGTAGTTGGTGGTTCATTCCGCTGTGGTGACCCCATATAAATCAAGGGCTAGCCTGAAGGAAAATTAATGAAATATGCATAAAACTGTTTTTTTAAATTGTATTCATTCATTCATTTTATTTTTGGCTTAGTCTCTATTAATCAGGGGTCGTCACCGCGGAATGAACCGCCAACTTATCCACCTTATGTTTTACATAGCAGATGCGCTTCCAACTGCAACCCATCACTGAGAAACACCCATACACTTTCACAATATTTAATTAAAGCAGTATTGATGAGCATGAGAGACTTATTTAGAATCAAAATACATTTAATTAAAATCCTACAGTTCCCAAATTACTAAATGGTACTGTACAACACTGTATAATATCAGAATACTTGTGAAATGCCGTAAAGTAAAGATCAGTTTGTTTTTAATGTAGGCAATCTCATCCATGCAAGGAACCTGGACTTTGGACTGTTCATGGGGTGAGTTTTACCATTTGTTTTTACCCTTCTTCCTCAATTCATGCACACTCATTGACTGAACAAGACTTCATATGATGTGTGTTCCTCTCTTTCAGATGGGATTTAAAGAACAGGTCTTGGGTCATCACAGAGAAGCTGAAGCCTCTGGTTGTCAACATAGACTTCACGCGAAATGGCCAGACAGTCTTCAAATCCACCAATTTTGCAGGATATGTCGGGATGTTGACCGGCATTCATCAGGTAATCACAGAGCAGTCTTTGAGGATATCCAGAATAGCGACAGGAGACAGAAGTGACCTTTTGTCTCAGCTGTTGTTTTTAGTTTCACTTCTGCATTTGAACAGGAAGGATTATTGTGAAAGCTCGGACTGTTGGTCACTGATCACATTGCTCGTGTTGTTTTCTTTACAGAACTCGTTCACTCTCACTATGAATGAGCGATTCAGTCTGGATGGAGGATACATCGGTGAGCTCCTTTATTCATCTCACTGACTGCTGCTGAGTCATGTGGCACAAATATGTCAAGTTTAAGGCCACAAATCACTTTTTTTAACCTTTAAAAGGGGAATTTTATAACAATCCAAAATCAAACAAAACGTGCTCAGGGGTAGCTTAATTTAATGTGTCGGTGCTGTTTGGGTAAGGTATTCGTCAGAATTTACAGCAAAAGTAAGTCCAAGGCACTCAAAAATGTGGAAAAAAAATTCAAAAGCTTTTATTGACATGGCTATTTTAGCAATTTTAAGGAATATTCATGTAAATAAAAGGCGTTTCAAGTGCATTGAACTTATGCTGGGAATTTTATAACCTCATTAAATGTCTTTTATGTGAAATACAATTACTTTAATCAGAAATCTGTATGTTATTAATAGCAATAGAATTTATAGTTTACAAGCTGAAATATACATACAACTGTACAAAACTTGTATACAAAAGAACATTTGGGTGAAATTTATATTATGACAAACTTTTTTTTTTGCCCTTTATGTTGAATTTGAGGCATAATTGTTTATTTTAGTTGCTTTTGATTCCTCAATGGTCAAAGTTAAATGTTCTTTCTGGCACAGTGTTATTATTATTATTATTATTATTTTTTGTCTGTTTTAATTGATGTGTTTAAGGGTGTGTGTTTTATTATGTCACATAGTTGGTTGAATGAATGCATGTGGTTATTGTTATTAAGTGTGTGTGTGGTGTGAATTACAGGGATTCTGGAGTGGATCTTGGGAAAGAGAGACGGCATGTGGATGAGTTTCCTGACTCGCTCAGTGCTGGAGAATGCAACTAGGTTTAAAAAAAACACACGCACGCACGCACGCACAAACAAACAAACATACACACACGCACACGCGCACACACACACACACACACACACACACACACACACGAATGGATTTTTAAACATTCTAATGCTGAGTTTTCATAAATTATGCGTTTACAATCACTTTATAACTTATTTTAAATAATTATTATTTTTGAAACAGATAAAGCAGTAATAATGTTCAATTATAACTTCTGTCCTGTAGTTTATTCCTCAAAGCTCCAGTGTTCAGTGTCACATGATCTTTCAGAGAAAATTAATTTGCTGAATTTGGTGCTGCAATAATCACTGAAACATTAAGCAGAAAAACTTGTTTTTAACATTTATAATAAGAACTATCAGCTATAACTGAACCCCAAATCTACATATTAGAATGATTTCTGCAGGACCGTTTTACTCTGAGCACTGATGTAACGGCTGCTGTAAAAACATGTTGAACATTGCAGTAAATTACACTTTGAAACATTATAAATCTTTTAATTTTCTTAATCTTAATTCACAGATTTGATTGGTAGAGGAATTATTGTTTTGACCCTCCTTAAACTGAAATTATAATACAAATACATGTTTAAATCTTTATGCATATGTAAATATGTTTTTGATACTGAACTATGACAAATGCAAAGACGTCTCCTGAGTATTTAATAATGATGATCATGTTTTGTTTTAGTTATGAAAGTGCCAAGGCTCTGCTGTCTGATACTAAGCTGTTGGCTCCAGCCTACTTTATCCTGGGGGGAAACCAGTCGGGTGAAGCCTGCATTATAACCAGATCCAGAACACAAAACATCAGCCCGCTGGAGTGAGCTCTGCACCACTGATTTAGTCTATACACACATCTACATCAGGGCTGGCCAATCCTGACCTCTCTGCTCTCTAGTTGACACTTGTGTTATTATCAGGGCCAGACGGAATCGGCAGACTTTTTTTTTTCCTTTTTCTGCACAAAATTTTGTATAAAAAAAATCCAATTTTTGCAGAATGATTTTGTGAGTATTATAACTGAAAATTTTAAGTATATGAAATAATAATAAAAAAATTAAAACTTTTTAACTTCTGGTTTACAATGTAAATCCAATTAGATCGTCTAATTTGGTAAACATAGCAAGTCTCTCATATATTATATTTTCATTTTAGTCAATATTATTACTGTAATTAATTTAAAAACTGAATAAATATGTATTTACACAATAAATAGACTCAATGATGGGCTAAAACCTGCAGATTTCTGCGCGCACAGATTCCGTGTGGGCCTAGGTATTAATCTGTGATCACTGAATTAACCCTCTGAATTTTACATGTACTACATTCGTCACGTAGTTAATGTTAAATTACCTTCTAGTGTCAGTTTCACTTTCATCCACAAATCTTCTCCCGTGGCCTCGTGTAAATCTAAAGTGTCAGTTAGAAGTTGTTAGGGTAATGGTAACTAATCTTTAAAGGTTATGTGAAGTACTTGTGTTATTTTTTTTAGTTGGCGTTTAGGGAAGGAGCTTAATTCTGTGGTCTTGTTGGTCTGGAGTGAAAATCATTGTAGTATTTTGGTTTAATATGATATTGTCTATGCATTTCAGGCTGAATGTGAAGAACGGCAGGTGGTATGTGTTGGAGACGAACTATGACCATTGGAAAGAGCCTCTGTTTTTGGACGACCGCAGAACTCCGGCTATGAAATGCATGAATCAGACCACACAGACTGTAAGTTTGGATTTGCAGACTTGAGAAAATAGAATCATAATGTTAGAATTATGATTTTATTACTTTAACTTCTTGCGATCTTCTTGCAGAATATCTCAGTAAAGACGGTTTATGACGTTCTGTCCACTAAGCCAGTCTTAAATAAGGTGGGTTCTTTATGAATTTACACTTTTAATTAGTTAAGTTTGAAGCACTTATAATGCCTAGTTGAATAACACTTTTCATTCTGGTGCTGTGCAGTTGACCACATACACTACTCTTATGGAAGTTTCTAAGGGAACACTGGAGTCTTTTATTCGTGACTGTCCAAATCCCTGCATGCCCTGGTGAAGAACTCAAGACCATAGTACACTTCTGCACTCTATCTGAAGACAGCAAAATATGATGAATGTGAGTGTCTCTGTTTAGGAAGGGAAATAATTCTAATTTTAGCACTGTTCAAATCAGCAGTCTTACATTTTAAAAGGTTTGCAACATCTGATTCAGAATCACATGAGCTTTGTTGGGTATATAATCAAGCTTAACCTGTCAAACAGGTAGAACAGCTTATTTAACACAGGTCTAAGGATGTGTTATCAAACAAAATGCACTGAGAATGTTTATTGCGCATGACATATTGTACATAATTTTTAATCAAATTTTTTTTGGATGTGATTGTATCTTTTTTGTTGTTTTTGTAATGATATATTAGCGTCTGGAAAATACAAGTAGAACATATTTCAACTTGATAATCAACACTACTGGTGCCTTAATAATAAATCATTGACCAAAAGATATTAATGTTATTGCACATAATAAATGATGTAATATTTATTGCTTTGAGGGGGGGGGGGGGTGCACGGGGGGAGAAAACAACTGCAGGAAAATGGTAAAAATCAATGTTTTATTCGTTTTAAATCTCAATCTAAACATTGGAGAATTACACGAGGTGAAATGGGGTGAGAACCCAAGCATTGGCCAACATGCCTTAAAAAAAGATCCAAATAAAAGCAAGAGAACATTTAAAAGAGTGCAATAAGAAAGGACAGGACAATCCATCAGTGCTAACATGTGATTCTGCTGAATCCCTAATGGTTTTCAATGTGCAGTCTGGTTCATGTCAAATATATTTAAATAGGGTTATTTTCATTTCTGCTTAATTTTGTCCTGAACCAGAGAAACAAAAGATCTATTGTCCTCTTTGTATTTCATTGGCAAAAATCACAGGAGAAATGCAAAAACAAAAGCCTAACCATGCCAAACGTAGGAACACACAAATGTTCTGCATCCCTTAAACCTCAGCCGTTGAAGAAGCTCAACAAAGAGAAACACAGAAAAAAGCACTTACAGACTACAGAACCGCTTAAAAGACAGACAAGAGCCCGCTTCAAGACATCATCTACATTCTCCATAAAACTACTTACAGGTGTAGAGACTTCTTTGCCGTCTCTTGAACTGTTAGATCACGCATGCTGACAGGTTGATTCGCTTAGCTGTTGTTTCCAAGGATTCTTAGGGTATTAAGCTCATTAAACAGTAATGCTGCATGAAAGATGGACTGTAGTGTAAGACTGAAAGATCATTCTCATGCACTCTGGGCTCCAATGGTTTCTGCAATCAAAAAGAAAAAGAAGGTTGATGATTTCATTATCCAAATGTGTGACAAAACTAAATGTGCTTTCCCACTTGATTTGATGGCCTGGGGGCATATTGCAGAAAGTTTCTTATCTTAGGTCTTTACTTTTGCATATTTGTTTTACAGAAGCAAATCTTAACTTGACTTGGGATTCACATCTCGTCTCTAGTTAGGGAATCTAAAATTTATGCCAAGTTTGACAATCAATTTGCAGGTCTGTTACCAGGCAACCAACGCTGCAAGCTGCTAAAAAGTTAACAAATACAACGGATCATCAAAGCCAGGGGAAATAACAGAGCTCATACAAACTGAAGGCATTAGTTACTTGCACTACAACCGGTAATGCTCTGTGACGCTTTGTTGTTCTCTGTAATGCTCTGTTAATTGTAATATGTTGCGCAGCGGCCTAAAATGACAAATATTAGTGATTTTGTCATAAAAAACTAAGATCTTAATGCAGAGTTTAGACTGCATGATTTTCAAAGTAGTCATGTCACAGCATGACTATCTGGGTTAGCGTTTCGTCGCTGCTTTGTTTACACTGCAAGATGGATCAGAAACTGAGGGTTTCACACTGCATGACTTTACAATAGGAAGAATCGCCGGCACCTTTGTCTCAGTCCGAAAACTACGTCTCTCACTACTAAACACACGCAAGAAGCAGTGACATGGAAACAACACGAGGTAACGTAGTATATATTTTGTTATTAACTATATAATAACAAAAGAAGCCTTTGGTGAGGTAGAAAATGTACTTATTTTGCTCACTTGGCTCACCTATTAAAGGGAATTAGCAATTTCTCCTCAACTTTTTTCTGTTTTGAGCCGGTTGTGGTATTGCTCAGATAACATGTCAAACAGACACGGGTGCTCCTGCCAAATTTACACTGGTTTTTCCTCCATTTCTAAGGTCCAAATAGACTGAAAATAAGCGATTTTAACGTATCCCCCATCATTCCGCTGCCCTGCAGATACCCATACTAGTAGATGCTGCTCTCTCATTGGTTGTAGGTAATTGCCGATGTTATTTTAAATCAGAACACATTTCACATGACATCATTTAAATCGCAGACAGGTCCAGATATTTAGCATGCCAAATATCTTAAGAGTGTCGGCGACTCAGCGGTGATTCTCTCAGATCTTTGATAGTTCATACTGTGTGATTGTTACTCATGTGAACGAGCACCGATTTGCCTGTGATTTCAGCTATTTGTCTGCAATTTCTCAAAACCTGTTGGCGAGTCAAAATCGGGGCTCAAATCATGCAGTCTGAACTCAACACAAGTGTCCTCCAAGAGTCTGTCTACTATTAAACATCTTCATTCTTCATTTTGAATCATCAGTAAATATACTGCCACTGCTGGACAGCACAAATATAAGTGTTTTTTCACATTACCTTTCAAATTATTTTGAAGTTAGGACAGCTGTCGGGTTGCTCTTAAAAGTTAGGACCGTTTTTAGGATATATATATTTTTTTTTGGTCAAGTTAGGAGGTTTCTGTTTTACTACCTTTATATCTGTACTTAAAATAAAACTTAGAAAATGCTGTTCTGTGATAGATTAGTACTAAAATGAGGTGCTAAGTGAAATTGGTTACCAAAGAGATCGGATTTTAAAGTTAGTTTCTGTAATACAACCCTAGGTCTCAAATCAGGTTCGACCGACAACATATTTTTGGCATGCATCTTTCCATATGACTGCACAGCAGTATTGAAGGTACACATCTATATCTAAATAGTTCAAAGGTAGGGCTGCACAACATTGAAAAAAACTGACATTGCGAAATTTTGTTTTTCTGTGATCTATACCCTATATTAGGAAAGAATTCCTCATTTTAAATTGATTTAAATCATTTTTGGAGGAGTGCATCTAAATGCAAAATACATTAGAACAACAGAACAAATATTACAAAAAATTTGAGAAACCAGACTTTATGGAATTTCTTTGCAGCACTGTTAAACTCCAACTGAAAACCATAATCAAATGTAACAAAAACACTGCATTGTGTTTAAAGTAATAAATAATTAAACACAATTTATCATTGTTAAAGCAGTAAACTTTATAATTTCTTGTGCCTAAATGGATTCAATCCACTTCAAATCTTATAGTGCATTTCTTAAAAAACAACTGACTATTGAAGACACCCTTTTAAAAAAAATCATTCGCTTTAACCATTTGTATTCCGAAATAATATTTTAAGGCATATTCAAACATTTTACCACAGTACATCAAGCCATTTTACCATTGGCTTTACTCATTTGTCAGCACAAAGTGAATTATTTACAATTTAATACCATTAATAATGATCACTTATGATTTAGTTATTATATTTACCAGGCTCTTTGAGTGTTTGAGCATTTCCCACCAATCCCGTAAGCTCGCTTGTATTTCCATTGAGAATTTCAGCTGTCAAGTTGTTATTTTGCTGTTCTTCTGAGATCCTCTTACACAGCTCTTCCTGTACAGATTACAAGCAAAGAAGATGTGCAAGTAAGCATTTTTGTATTAAACATGTTAGAGAGTAAAGACAAATCTACATAACATGAAAACTACAGCACTAGTAGTGACTGATATTCAGCAGCAAAATAAATATTAAAATATAAATGAATATAATACATAACAAATTAGTGAATTTTAAACTGTAAAAAAAATGATTTCACAATGCCAAGTCAGCGAGACCACTGAAGCTCTTACCTCACACAGAACAGACATCTGAATAGGAAGATCCTCCACCTTCACAAAATCTTCCTCATCCGATCTCTGACTGGTATTTCCAGATCCAGCTTCCTGTCATTTAGAAATATATAAAGAAAAGAAGCTCAACACCTTATAATCTTCAGATAAATACTTTAAAGATGCTGGTTGAGATCAGTGTCGTACATCAGTGTTGATCATGACTGGAGAGTCTGTATCAGGACTGGCTGAATCGGAGCTCTGAGGAGTTTCCTGGACTGGAGCAGAAGTGCTGTCCTCCTTTTCCTCTTCTTCATCTCCCGAAGCAGATTTTTCCTCTTCTCCACCCTCTTCTGGAGGCTGAACAATGACTTTGGGATCAGACGGTTCACTATTTACTGTTTGAAATTGGGAGAAAATATGAACATAATATTATAGCTGCAACTGTAATGGAGTGTAATAATCAATAATAAATATAAAAAGTGTAATATTACAGAAAAAAAAACATACACTGACTACTTTCTGAGCTGTCTTGGTCTGATTTGGTTTCCTGTGGGGTTTCGTTTTGTAACGCAGAGCTCTGGATGAACAACAGGTCATTATTAGTCTATATTACTGAGCTGTGTCAGCTTATTTGCTATCTACTGTACACTGTAAAAGCACCTCTCTGTGTTCACTAGTGTTGTCCATGCTGGCTTGTAATGATGTTTGCACCTCTACAGGTCCAGCCTCAAACTCCTCCATCTCCTCCACTTCATTTTCATCTTCTCCACTGCCGTAGTTGCATAGAGCCTTTGTCTCTGCTTTAGACAGGCCTGAAGAAAAGAGCACAAGTCAAACAGATTCTTATCAGAGTCAAACACATTACGCAAAGGTTTTAACCTGCACATGATAAGACTAACAAAATCAAGCAAACAATCCACATGTATTAGTGCATAGGCAGAAAAATGGAGCAGAAAATGAAGTATAATAAATGGGAGTTCAGAGACACCACTTGAAAGAAAGAACATGGTAAAATTTACTTGCATTATAAATATGACTTTTACGGATACAGATTTTTTTTTTTAAAGGGAAATAAAATTGATTAAAATGAACAGCACATTATAAGATCTTGGAACTTTCTAATCAAATTATTTATTGTCAAATACAAGCAGGCGTAGACATTGAAACGCTTGCTGGAGACTTCAGGGCTGGTTGTAGCAGCAGTGCGCAACTTACACATTACTAAATATTTTTGTGTTGCACCACTGAACTTAGTGTCTTGAAAATCATGTCATTGTCTGTTATAGTGTCTGACTGTAATTTAATGTGCTATAAAAATGTCATTTATAATTTCATTTTCATAGGAAAGTTCATTGTTTCCGCAACAATCCTTCTTCCATGGTGGGGCGCCATGCCAAAATTCATTCCGTCATGGCTACATTACAGCTTCTCATTTAAAACATTCAAAATGTAATTTTTTAATAGCGGTTAATAAAAAAAATTGCGCCAAAACGTATTAAAAGCTAAGTGAATTATAACAGCACAAACTTTTCTGTAACCGTAGTAGTGCTGTGCCTCATTTGTTTAACCCTTTAAGGTGACGTGCTGACTGACTGACTGACAGGTGCATGAGGCCAGCAAACACGACGTATAGCCGTTTCACTTTATTTTAGGACGCATTAAAGTCGCTCTGTAGGTCTATTAAAGACATTTATAAATATTCCTAGCAAATCTAATAAATGCTGGAGACATACTCGTTACACAAACGCACTAAATCGCTCTTCAGCAGCATTTATTCGAGAGCGCACAAGAAGATCTGTGCGCTCTTGAAGGGGCTTATATTTGAGGGGGCGTGAAGGAAGTTTTGTGCACGAGCAGAGAAAATCGGTGTGCAAGCAAAGAGATTGGCATGCTCGTAGGCTATAACATAAATGCGATCCCGACTTCAAATACTGCGCTCACAAAATTTGTCATTGAAATAACGCCACAGGAAGTAGATCTGTGTTTAAAAAAAAGGCCTGCCGCCACAGTTGGAAAAAATACTAGAGTAAACACTTCAGTTACATATAGTTGCACTAGATACCAAATTTTAAAGAAGTTTAACGATTTAAATGCTTCATATTGGATATTACGTCATTCAATGTGACCAAGCATGACTTTATGGAGAGCTTAAGAACTAATAACTATGGTTTGCTTTAAGAACATGTGGTGCAACCGAAGTAAGAACAAATTTAGTTACAAACTACCTAGTAGTTACTAAGCCTCTAGTGTGGACTTTAAACTCCAGTTTAAGAAAGAAATTACGATCAGCTGGTGCAACCCTACCCAGGTCTCAAATGGTGCAAACTTGCATTTTCTTATGACATTAATTTTTTATCAAACTAAATTGATTGAACAGCAAAGTCTGTTTTTCTGCCATTTTTTATTAATAGTCATTTCCCTATAGGCAAATAAATCAGACATTCTAAAACAATATCAGAAAAAAGCTTACTTCTGCATTACAGCATAGGGTCATTAAAATAGATTGATACAAATATGAGAGAACTTTCTTAAGCACCAAAACTGGCAGTTGAAAATTCAGCTCATCTATTTTGTTACATTTTAAAATACTTTTTTTTTCATGTGGTGGTAAAATGGAAATTATTCTACAGTTTTTACTGACTTGAAATTGAGACGTCCACAACACTATTTCGCTATATGTAAGCACACTAACTACCATGCCATACTAGAACTTACTTATAGAAAGTGGCAGTCCTTCTTCCTCTTCAACCTCAGATGCTTCACTGCTCTGTGCTTCTTTCTCCTTCTCCTCTTCTCTCTCATGAGGCATCTCTTGCCGCTCAGTCTCATCCTGATCCTGAATGGGAAAAAAAAGAAAACCTTTAAGTCAATTTTCAGCATTCAGATTTGCAAAAAAAAAAAAAATCATAAACCATTGGGTTTTTGCTGCTGTCTTTACTTTGATGTAACTTTGAACGGAGGGTACTTTTTACACACCACACGTTTGGTTCGCACCCAGATTCATTTAATGTCAGAGTTTGGTATGTTAAGCTAGTGTGAACGTGTCTTCTGAACTCACGAGCAGTACCCGATTCCACCAGAAAGAGGTGGTCTGAGGTACAGTTTGCATTGCCTCTAGTCTGGTTCACTTCTGATGTGAATGCAATCGTACCAAATAACAGAAGTGAAACACCAACTGTACAACAAACTTTAGTTTTCATAACGTTAATTCACGCGTGTATGTCTGCGTAACAGTAAATGTTACCCTAATGTCAACCAAGTGCAAACACAGATAATATGTGCTTGTCTCCTGAAAAAAAAGCTTCTGCAAAAATTGCATTATGTTCTGAAAAATGTTTACTATTTTTTTGCAGCAGATAGGCACAAGTGGATCTCTGTATGTTACCAAAACCAAAAGAATGACTGTAATGTGCATACATCTTTCCATTTTGTAGCTTTGCTTTCATGGCCTTCACTCAGCAATATCCGTACACAAAACATCAGCTTGATGATGTATCGGAGTTCAGAAGGGAAAAAAGATGGTTTGAACATACATGTGGCAAGTGGGGAAAAATTTAACTTTGATACAGACCAGGCAATTGAACCAAGTGTGAAACACCCTGAGTCTGCAAGCTAACATACAAAATTATTCAGCTGTTATTGCACTTTAACTTACTCTGTCTTCATCAAAATAGGATGGTGAGAACGTCTTTTCTCTCTCTAGTGTTTTCATCTCCTAAACAAACAATGTAAACATTACTCCTTTAACACAAAAGTACTGCTCATACATAGGCAGAGGTTGAATTTCACACATCTTACCTCAGTGTGAGGCGAGTGTTTAGGAGATGTGTGGTCCGACCGCCTCTTGGTCCTGAGTTTGTTTTTGGAGGTGTTCTGATCTAAATCTTGCATCAGTCTGAAGAAGGCGAGCTCATTAAACAGGATCTCAGAGATCTCCACCAGCAGATCCTCACCGCAGTCCTGCAACTTCCGACCTACAAACTTGCTGAGGGAATCCTGTGCCAAGAACATCAGTATCATGCACTTAAGAAACCAATTGAAAACATTTCCGACTAACATAATATCACTAATGCAAGTAAAGTCACCAAACAGCAATCTAAGAAAAGCAAACAATAAATAACAATGAGCAAGGCAGAAAATTCACATCAGAATATGCCTGACCTGCAGGATGCCTTCCAGCTGCCGGTGGAAGAAGCGAACAAACTCTTTGCTTTCGTCATTTTGCTGAGTGAGGTTGAGCACCATGTGTCTCACAGCCTTAAGCAGCTTCTGTGAACACACCTCCCCAACATGTTCCTGAAAGAAAGACACATGAGAAACAATCTGTCAACAATCTGAACCCCTTACAGTTGATTAATTTGCAAATGTTAAGAGAAAATTAGCGCAAACTCACCTTTAGGAAGGGAATGACCTCTGTCATGATGGCTTTGATCTGTCGGTCCAGCTGTTGGGTGTCAATCTGAGGACAATGTGCATCTGTAGACAAATGTCCTGCACCTAATAATGGACAGACATGCAAACAATGCATTAAAACAGCCAAGCAGAGCTACTTAAAGCGGTAAAAAATTAAGCATTTAATATTGGCAAGCAAGCAGAGCTTAAGGTAGTGCCATGAAGTAAAACCATGAAGAGCAACTCGAAACTTAAAGAAATATTGCATTCATATTTTTAAGTTGGTAAATGAGAACACACCAACAGCACATATTTGAAATGAAAACTTAGCTTGTGATTGACAGCAGGGATGGGCAGTATTTATCATACATGTATTTTAAATATAAAATTGTATTTTTTTAATTTGTATTTTATAGGGGTCAATTATGTCAATTGGTTTATATTTTGTATCAAAATACTTTTGTGTCTTGTGTTTTTAAAATACTGTAATATACTTTGTAAGAAGTCTACATGAGAGAGAGAGAGAGAGAGACAGAGAGAGAGAGAGAGAGTTTTAATTGTATTGCCATTTTAGCTTCTACGGCTATGTCATGGCAAAAAAAAAAAATTTAAAATCAGATCAAGTTTACCACATTTTATAAATACCACTTTTCTATAATTATAAAAATATTCTAACAATTAAAAGTACCAGTAATATATAAAGACAGTATAATGCACAATTCGGCATCAGCATTTTTACTTAAGAAATGAGATGAAATAAAACATCAGTCCTTAAAAACAAGAGGAGCCTTCAGCACAATCATTCTCAGTGTTGGTGCTGCAGGTGGAAATGCAGAAGAACTTACAAAAAACACCTAAAGATGCTGTAGTGGTGTTCACTAAGGGGGCAAACTGAGACTCTTCCAGTTAAAGAAGAACTGAAAAATCCTGGAAGATTGAGTATACTGTACAAATAACAGTAGTTTTGGATGGACTGCTGATGTAGATGCCAAGAAAATAAGACAAACAATATAAAAATAAGTCTAACAGTGGCGATTCCTACAATTCTTCATTGGCTGTTTCAAATGCCAGATGATCTGCAGATGCACTGTACAGTAATTAAGAGATGTCAAAATGGCACAGTACAGTATATGAGAGACAAATATTTATTTAATAATACTCCAGTCTATACAGACAGAGATAAGTTTTACATTTTGCATTGAAGAGTACAGTTGCAAATAACATGATTTAGGAAAATTACTAAAACTGGAGATTTCATGTGTTTAAATCAGGTAAAAAACTACATTTATTTAACAAAAAAAAAACACCTCTTAACACAATAAAGAGATACAGTACTATATTCCATCTCATTATCTGCATTACATGTTTTTTGGTTAGTGATTAAAGAGATCACCTTCAAAACAGGACTTTCTGTATGAAAATTGTACAAACGCTATGCTAAAATGAAAAAGAAAGTCAGTTTAATGACGAAGTGACTGATCAAATATGCCTATTGAGTGAAGGTTTGCGAAGAAATGTCATGCTCCCTTGGAAAAGTATTTTGGAGTATTTTCAAAATACAGTGTTTGATTTTGATACATTTGTGGCTGCTGTATTTGGTAGTTTATTCTGATACACATAAAACTGAGGTACTTGGCATTTTATTTTTAAAATACATTTCAATGTATTTTTGCCCATCCTTGAATGACATTTTTTATAAATAAATAAAACATTTTAAACTGGTTCTCTGAGAGGAAAATTTCAATGTAGAGGAACTTTTGAGCCAGGTCACACAACATGCCATTAAGCAGCACATGATACAGACTTCCTAGAATGTAAAGTAAATATTTTGTAATATCACATTAAAAAAATATCTCAAAAATGTGCATTTAATTAATTATGAAACATATTTACTGGCAGTGACTATTTGTCAGAAACATTGTGAGCAAATGCAATGTAATAAGCGACTATAGACACAAGTTTTTACAACCCCCCATCCTGCTAGTTGACTGTTTTTTTTGCCATTGTGTTGGAAAACCTCATACAATGTTTCTAATGGAACGCTTCAGATAGCACATTTGACACTGTTGTAAGTGTCTGTCGGGTCTGATGTGCAGTGTGACAGTGATGGCAGCAGTACCTTGAGTACCTTGAGGTGAGGCAACGGTGGCAGCAGCAATGGCAGAGCTGTGCTCAGGGTTATCTGTGTTACATTCAGCCCTCAGCTTCATGCGCTCATACTCCCTCATCCTGGCCAATGCCTTATCTAAATGAATGACTGTGTTACCTGAAAGAGCAGGAAGGAAATAAAAGGACAGAGAGAGCGAAACAGAAAAGTGTTCAAGTGGAGTATGACAGGATTCAGCCCAGCACAGCCCCAGCTTTAGCAAAGCAAGCATGATCGTAGGTAAGCAACCCCAGCCTATAGGTTTTTAGCATGAATGAGCTTGTTTGCACAAAAAAAGTGCTGTTTTCTTCTTACCCAGGTCATCACTAGCAAATGGTTCAAGGTTGGAGGACGTAGACAGAAGGCTCTCATTGTCCATGGAGTCTCTGTCTGGTACCCTCTTCAATACAGAGTTGGATTTAACAGTTACAATCTTGTCAGATGCATCCTGGAAACATAAAGGATAGAAAAACACTCAGCTTGTGTAATAATGTGTAAAAAAAACAAAAAAAACAAAACAACAACAGATGGAGAGCAAATTCTCACATTGTCACTTGTAGCCAAGCTCTCACTAGGCGTGAGCTCTGATTGGGAGCCTGTTGCCCATACAGCTGGACCTAAAGAGGAGGCCTGCTCATCTGCCACACTCTTCTCCGTAAGGTGTCTCGTTACAATGTCCTGGTAGTCCAGAGCCAGAGATACATAGACAAAAAAAAAAGACAAAAAAAAAAAATTTAATTAATAATATATATATATATATATATATATATATATATATATATTTATATATATATATATATATATTTATATATATATGTGTGTGTGTGTGTGTGTGTGTGTGTGTGTGTGTGTTTGTGTGTATAAAAATTTAAACCTCTTTAACAAAATTGTTTTGTATAATTTTGTTACTATCACTTGTACATAAAATATATATTACACACATATATTATGCCTAAGCAATCTCTCTCTCTCTCTCTCTCTCTCTATATATATATATATATGTATATATATATATATGCTTTTGTTTGTGGACCAAAAACGAGCTTTTTGAACAACACAGAATGAGAGATAGGCATACATTTATGCGCGGCTAAATAAAACGCAAAAAAAAGTTTTGCATGAAATAATTCTCATACTAAGTACTTTTGCATGCACAGCAGCACAGAAACATGACAAAACAGTGACACAGCAAAGACGAACTGCTGCTCTTGCTGTTTTCAAAAGACGCAAATGAAGGTGCAGCTGTTTGTCTGCATTGCAGACAACCATATCCAAATCCATATCCACAGACAACCATATCCATGCTGGCACATAAACCCTAAGGATGTTCCATATTGAATCTAGTTTCGTTATGTAACTATTTATAGTATAGTAAATATTTATATCTATTTTTTTACTGAGGATTTGCACCATGTTTATTTGGACTTTATTTGGACTTTGACACATTATTTATTATTTTCTTATTTTTTTATTTGTTCTTTGTAAGTGGTGTTGTTTATAGTAACTGAAAATATATTATTTGGAAAAAGTCAAATTTGCTTCACTGTTCTATTATTTTGTAACATTTGTAACATACCGTATACCGCGAAACCGTCAAACCGTGGTATTGTTTTAGACGATTATCATACCGTAAAAAATTCATACCGTTACAACCCTAATATATATATATATATATATATATATATATATATATATATATATATATATATATATATATATATATATATATATATATATATATATTTTTTTTTTTTTTTTTTTTTAAATCAAAACAAACTTTTATTTTGGATGCGATTAATTTTTGCCCAGCACAAAAATGAATAAATAAATAGATGGTTATTACTAAATATAAATAACTTAAATATTTTAATAAAAATAAAAACAATAAACCACAAAGAAAACTGTCACGAAACTCTCTAAAGGGTCTACTACTGCAGTCTTAAAGCAGTTATTAAAGCTAGGTTCTGTAAGTAACAAATAGAAAAAATTCATTTTTATGACTTTATTAATAGCCATCTAGATGGATAGCACAGTACATGGTTGTGTACGGTACCTGCAATGAGTAAAGCGCCCTCTGGCGTAGATAGTCTGTATTGAGCAGTTGAAGCTCATGGAAGAGCTCAATGAGAAAGTGAGGGCGAGACTCATTCTGAGAAATCAATGTTGCCACTTCTGAGTAGATTGTTTCTCTTAAGGCCTCAAAGAGTGAGAAATCACTGCTCACATCTACAGAAAAGAAATGTACAATACAAAAATTAAACAAAGCATTTAAGAAGTAGATCAACAACTGTGGCCACCACTAATGAATCTTACAAATATTTAACTATTCAAAACCTTAACATAAGTCTAAGTAAATCATTTGCAAATGTTTCAGTACATTCAAACCATTGTTCACTGAACATTTAAGGAATTTTAAAAGTTTAACACAAAACCATGCACAGACATCAATTCATTTTCAATTCAAAAGCAAACATCCATATCAAAACACAATGGAATTAAATGTTGTCATCAATAAAACTATGGATTTTCCCCCCTTTCTTCCAATGTTCTAACATAATGCTACTGTACAACAGAAAGGAAGTGCTTCTAAAGCTGTATATGTGTGAGAGATTCTACCCCTTCAAAATAAAAACACCTAGTTTATATCTAGCGCTTTTGGATGTAGTTTCTATAACAGATGAAGAAAAAGGAGACAAGGGGAACACACATGCAGAAAATGTTAGCAAATAGTTAGCACATCAAACAGCTGATGAACATGGAGTTACCTGGGACTTCAGTGCATGCAATTCTGTTAGAGAGAAAAGGTGTTCTCCAAGCATATGCTGTGAAGAAACCAAGAACAGAACCAAAAATGAAATGGGAACGAACAGAAATTAAAATGATAGTGAGTACATTTTAACAGTATATGGACACAGGGAACACAAACAAGATGCTTAAATAAAAATGGGAACATGTTGCTTCTCCTGCTACACTGCTGGAAGGTGCTTCTGAGGTTGTAAAATATTAGCAATAAGAGAGTATTCATTGTTCTGCATGTGAATATAGTGTTTAATCCAGTGAGATCTATAGCTGAATGAGATCCGTATGAAAAGTCATACCAGATGAGAGGTCGTTTGGCTTGCTGTTCTTAGTCTTGCTGTCCAGTTTTTCCTGTGTGAGCTTGTCCAACAGACCCTGGTTGAGCTCTTTATATTTGACCTGATTGGAGCGCTCTCTTTCAAAATGGGAGTCACTTGAAACACTGTCACTGTCCACAGAAGCTGAAATGGAGGATGAAAACAATAAATTAACTCTCAGGCTTTATGCATTTTTTTTCTCACCCCTTTCGCAGTCAAAAAAGTTCAATTCAGCTTTGCCAAATATGCTACATTTACAAGCATATAGCGAATTGAAATTAAGCTACTCTCAGACTCAAATAAATACAAATAGCAGTGCTTCCTACACATAAGACTTTACTAGGGTGGGCCAGCCAAGTATATTAACAGATGACCAAGTATATTAAGTGACTTGTTTTTTTACTTTTAATAACATCCTTTACACTTTTTTTTTATATCCGCTCAATATAACCAAACATCCGCAATCGATTAAGTAGTGGAAAATCTTCACTCGTTTACCCGTTTCGTTCTGTGTGCACGTGAACTGTCAACACTCCCACAGACAGTATAACATGTATATAACAGTATAATATGCACTGTATGCCCACAGAGATGCACCTTTTTGAGACTTAAAACCAAGCCTGGGTTTATAAATCTCTGGGATTCAACTTTTGCTTTCGCTTTCTAAAGCTTGTATGTGTTTTTGCATTATCTTTGTACTTAAGCCTACCTTTGATTGGCTTCGCAACTGACTGCGCACGCACTTCACTATATACTCCATGAGGTCGAAATGACTGGTCTGAACTGGCTGCAAAATATATGTACACAATTAGTAATGATTAATCAACACATCTACACATTTTAATCTTGTAATTATGGTAAGTTTTAGGGATATTGTCTCTTTTTATTCCTTTTTCTGTCATTTATTTCTCATTTGCTGATTATTTTATTAATTTATGTTAATATATTACATAGACTATTTTATATACATTTCTAAAATGCTTTAGCATTCAAGTTTGCTTTGAACTTGAAAGAGAGAGAAGCACTTTAACCCATTGAAAATAAACAGTCTATAACAGTGTCACAATAAATTAAATTCTTGTTGAAAAATAATTATGTTTTGTTTGTCGCATATAGTTAACTATATATGTGATGTGGGTAAATGGTGTGTTTCAATCCGGCAACCACCGCAAGTATATTTCAAACCTGTAGGAAGCACTGAATAGTTTTAGTAAACTTTAAGAGAGAAAAATACTATAAATAAAAATAAGGGCACAAAGAAAGTTGAGTGCAAATAATTGAAGAGTGCAGTGCAATGAGACTTTGAATTTTAAAGTGCCAGAGCTAATTTTTAAAGTCTATATAGAAATACTATGAGTATATCAAACCAATAATGATGCAAGTCAAACTTTAAATACAGACATACCAGTGTTCTTCTGTCCCCTGCCTCTCTTCCGGCGGCTCTTCATGTTGGGGGTCTTGTCTCTGGATGCCAGGCTGGCCTGTGCCGCAGCCTTGCGTCCTGCTCTGAAGGTCTTGGTGACAGTGGTTGGGTCTGCTCTGTCTGGCAGGCTGCTCATAGACTCCTGGGAGTCAGGTATATAAGAGCGATCCCGGGAGGTAGAAGGGTGAGGGACAGGAGATGAGGAAAGCGAGTTCTGCTCTACCTGACTTGGATGGTCTGAGGTAAGAATGGGCCTCTGACTAGAACGATTCAGAGAGGAGTTTAACCAGCTGGAGTTATTAGCATCAGTCAGATTATCAGAGTGAGACTGGAACCTATAAATGGAAGAGGAGAAAAAAAAAGGATAAGTTTTTCTTCTTTTTGTTTTTTGAGCAAGATTCCTTAGTTGAATTAGAAGCTAACCAACATTTAAAGCAATTCTTACATTCTTTAAAAAATAAATATTATACCGTTTCTCTGCATTATTGAGTGGAGATCTCTGTAGTGGAGGGGGGAAGCTCATGTACTCCGTTTTGAGGGATATATTTGGATCATGATGTTGATCTGAACTAGCCTGGTTCTGCTGGAAATCTCCAACTGAAGGGGGAAACATGGGAGCGAAATTAAAGCCTGAAGACAGAAATGAAGAAGAAAGTTATACGTGAATATTTTTTTTTTTATTAATTAGATTATTTCTCTTATATAAAGATTTAACGTTAGATGACAGACTTACCAGTTGGAAAAGGGGAGAAATTTGGAAGTCCAGGAATATTGAGTGCATTGACAGATGGGTAATTTAGGAACATTGAAGGAGATGCAGGATCATGCGCAACACTTTGATGCTGCTGTTGTCCAGATGATGACTGGCTCTGCTGCTGCCGCAACAGATCATTCAGAGTCTGCTTCAATCTGTCACAAATAAAAACGTTAGTGATAAATGAAGCCAAATGTTACAAAACAGAGTCTATTTTAATTAAATTCATCAAATTAAATTAAAAAAGTTAAATTAAATAAAAAGTTTTTACAGTATTTTAATCCATGTTGTTTGAGTATAAGAGTTCAAATGCAACATAAATGGCACTACAAATAATGTTAACACTTTCAAATAATGGTCCATTAGTTAATTTACTAACATAAACAAAATTAATTTATTATTTTTTTATGATTAATATATTTATTAGATCTATGATGTTAGTTAATGTTATTTAACATATATAATATTAGTTCATGCTAACTCACAGTGCTATAACTAATGTTAACAAGCACTACTTTGGATTTTAATAATGCATTTATAAATGCTTTACAAGATTATTGATACTTAATGTTATTAAATACATTAACTAATGGACCATTTCTGTAAAGTGTTACCCAAATATTTGACAGTGTAATTTATAGAAAAGGTTTCATTCCTAATAAGTAATATCTTATACTTTATTAAAATGAATGTTTTTCTAATGAAGTGTAAAGACACACACCGATTGACATTGTTCTGCTGCCAAGCCAGCTGTGTGTAACACTGGTTTAGCTGGTGCATGATGAGAGGGACCTGAGGAGAGGTCACATTATTGGGCACAACACCGCAGGGGCCAGTGAGCAGAGCCTGCAGCATGTATGAAAGTGTCTACAGAGTAGAAATAGGATGTTAGTGAGATGGGGAAATCAAGATGTTGACAAAATCCATTTTTGTACACTCTCACCTGCTGATCCTGAAGCAGAGTTTGGCACATGGTAGTGCTGAAGTTAAGTTGTTTCTGGAGGTGTGTGATCTGCTCCTGCCAGTGTGCTGGTGCAGCACCTTCAGCGAGAGACAAATCAGCTGCCCATCGCAGGTTCTCCTGCCTCTTCGCTTTGCTGGAACTTCCTCTCTCAGACTGCGGCTGCTGACGAGAACGACCTCTTGATCTACGAGGGGAAGGACTTGTGTTAACTTCCCTGAGAACTTTCAGACTGCAAAATGTTAAAGGCAATTAATAAAGAGATGGTGTAGATTTCCTATACAAACTTAAAGCTTCTTTAGTGTGAGCCTTTTATTTACCCCTCTCTGTTATTCCTGTTGTAGTTGCGTTGTTTTTGTGTAGAGCAAGCATGCCGTTCATCGGTGGAGCTGGACTCCTCTCCCTCATCACGTTCATCATCATCATCATCTTCCTCAGCTCCGACCTCAGAGGAGTAATCATCATCCTCATCACCAAGAGGACACTGTGTAGAACCACCCCATGTGGCCACCGTTCTAAAAGGAAGATTATGATTAGCAACAATTGCCATTATGTCAGCGTGCTGAAAAATGTGAAGGCTGTTCGTTACCTTTCATCACGACTGTAGGACTGGGTCTCGTGTGTGTCGCTTCTGAATGGAGAGTCAGGGAGTGTGCTTCTCCTCTGCTGCTCTGCCATCAGACTCTCCAATTGTTTCCGTCTCTGTCTCAACTCCTCACGCAACATCTGGTGCCTTCGCATCTCTGTCCACAGCTAACATAAAAATATACTTTTAGATTAACAATAAAACAAAAGTTACTTTATTAAAAATCGATTTAGAAACCATCTTTTGCCTGCTTACAGATAGTCCTTCTCCAAAAGTACAAACCAACATATTCTAACATCATGATGACAAAGGTGAGCTGCTGTTTATTGCAATTGATGTGCGCTGATTAGATTAATCAAAAATAATTTAAATTGATATTTAGAACCTATAATTGATTTAATTTTCCCTAGTCGACTTTTTTAAAATAATTTTAAAATTTTTCCTACCACCTGTGGTCACGTGAGGCTAATCTGTTAAGGCTGATTGTTGTTGTTGATTCTGCGACGAGAGTATGTGTATGATCCGGCGTAGCCTTCATGCAGTCTCATACCCGTGCACCTCTCAAAAATGCAACTGCACATAGCGACGAAGTGTAGCTTAAGCTCTGTGATTGGTTAGTTTGGTAGCATTAACCAATGGTACCATGGTATGGGCGGCACAGAGAGCTGCGGGACAGCATACAGCCCGTTGGAGCGAGTGTTTACAAGTGTGCGAGCCACATGGAGAAGCTCCAGATGGAAACTTTTGTTGAGTGTTTACCTTATGATTAAAGTTGTTTCACGTCCGCCAGCTCCTGCCTCTAAACGAACGACTTTTAGCTTCTTGTACATTTAGGTAGCGTTCAGAAAAATTTAAACTCTCACGAAGATACTTGACACAGAGGAAAATAAAAACCCAGTGCCAGCTAGCATTTCTGAAGTATTACTGCAGAGCAACACAAACAGCGCACAGAAGTTTAAATGCACCGCTACGCACAAAGCAAGGAAGATCACTCGACGCAAAAGGCTTTAGAGACTTTAAAGGCTGATTTATATACTTTTGCGGCCAAATCTGATCTCTGGTCAAGTAGGATGATGGACCCATTCTTGAGCCTTACTTTGGTACAGCTTACAATCATTGTCAATGTAGAGCAGAGATGCCTTGAGATTACACAAAAAAATTTATTTACATTAAAGTATTTGTTTTTAGAAGATGCAAGAAATGCACTCTCTAAAATATTATTTACAGGATATACAAAAGTTATTTTGTTCAGAAGAGAATTTTTATATGAAAAGCAATGAAAATAATTTATTTTGTTTCCAAAAGTGAAACAAATTATTTATTTTCACTTCTATTATAAGAAAAAAATGGCTGTTCATTTTAGGCAATGTGTGTTTTAATTTTAGTTGATCAACAGTAATGCTTAATAAATAATTATAGATAGTAGTGTGGGTTTCCTTAAATTATTGTTTAAAAAAAAAATCAAGTAATGCACACTTCATTCAAAAATCTCACACTTGTAATACGTCAGGATATTTACTGTACAAAAATTGTCAGTGAACTGTGAAGGCAAAAAATAAATAAAATAATCGTTCATTAATCATAATAGAGTTAAAATGTTCAATTAACTGAGATTTTGATTTTAGGCCAAATTGCCCAGCCCTAGCTCTGATAAATGTTTACATTAGCTAAAAGCTTAAATTAAACAAAGATGCAGATTATTAACACAACTTCTAATAAACCATTCAAATTTAAACATTTCACAGGATTGGTAAAAATAAATAGACTTTAATCATCAATACACCATGATGACTTGATAAGACACAAGGTAGAAGTGATTTATCACCGTTTTAATGCATACCATCACTTTACAAACTCATTTGATAAATAAACGAAAGCAACATTTTTATTTGGATTCCACACTAACCTCATTGTCAGTGACGGTGACTGGAGGAGGTTCAGTTGTGGGTTTGAGGCCACTAGTGTTGGCTTTAGCTGAGGAAGAAGATTGTAATGGAACAGGAGCAGGAGTAGAGGCTGCTGCAGGAATCTTCCTGCTCATTTGACCACTGGCACTACTGCTCACAGATGACTGAAAATACATGATAGAAAAAAAAAACAAATTAAACTTTCAGCAGATTTGAGCTGTGCGTTTATGGTAGCAACCTCCTGTAATTCAAAAGAGCACGTGTGTGAAGTACCTGAAGATCAGGGCAAGCCCACTGTATGTCCTGTATCTTCCCCTGAATCTCCAATAGTCTCTGTCTCTCTTCATGAAGCTGCTTTAGTTCATGCTGCTGCTGCTTGAGTTTCTCCTCATACAATCTCTCTCTAAAAAAACGAACATCACAAACCATTTCACAAAGGTCTTTTTACTGCAGCCTGATTACTACGAGGAACGCACACCAACCTGGCCTTATCACAGAGGGCAATGTCTCTCTGAGCTTTGGGAGCTGTTGCTCGTGTATTGTTGGGTTGTTGCTTCAAACCCTCATCCTCATTAGCTGTAGTACCATCTGTATCGTCGCTCTATAGAAACATTAACAAAACAATGTTGACACAGAAAGCTCCATTCACACTACATTTGCACAATGAATGACTAGAACATCACCTGCACCATAGCCACCAGTTCTTGAAGTTGTCTGAGTTTCTGTTTGGCTGTTTGAAGACGGTGAACTTTCTGAGCATACTCTGCATCACCGCCCAGACTGCTCCTATGACTGGATCCCGAACCATCACTGTCTCTACCTCCTCCTCCTCCTCCTCCTCTAGCTCCATCGTCATCCTCCAGCACCTCCTCATCATCCTCATCTTTAACTCCAACGTAAGGCCTGTCTCGGTTGTGCTGACATTCTGAAGTGATTACAATGCAAAAAAGAAGAAAAGTGAATATGCTAATGGTTTCAAGTCTTGTTAACACAGCATGTTTTTAAATTTCAGAGTGTGAGGCTTGACCTATGACTGAAGGGATGTTGAGACTGCGTAGGTTGGCTGCTGAGCGATTATTGATTTCACATTCTGTGTTCAGGCGGCCATCTCTATTATTGGAGGCACTACGAGTCTTTGTCAAACTGTTCATGTCCATCCAGTTACTTGGAGTCTGTGGTTGGGCTGGATTTCTACAAAACGAGTTAGTTTCTAATTAAACAGCCAGTTCACATTTTTTATACTGTACCCTGATAATTCAAAGCAAGAAACTCAACACACAAATGTTCACTTTAATACACCAATGAAAAGGATTTCATCTTTATACCTGATGTTGGTAACTGGTTCGTGGTTCTCCTGCTCTGAATCAAACATGGCCTCAAAAAGTGAACCGTCCTCAGTTTCCTCATCCTCCTCCTTCACATTCTCATTTACAGTATCCACCACCATATCTGATGTCTGTTCATAATACTGAACCAACTCTCTTAGCTCATTCAATCGCTTGTGCACCTCCTTCAGCTTCCTGCATTGAGTGACAAAGCAGTGATCAAATACACCGAGCTGCAAATTTCAGCAATATCCTTTTAAACAAACACTGATGTGATATTGAATGACATGACATTCTAAACCTGAGTTTGTCAGCAGAGTGGCTGTTATCATCAATCTGCGTGTAAGTGGATGAGCCCTGCCTCACTGGACGTGGCCCATTTCCCTCTCTACCCAAAACTGAAGGACGCTCTGACATGCCTACACGTGCACTACGCTGGCTGACACTCTGACCTAAGGAAAAACAAACACATTTACAATTCAACAATTAATCTTAAGGAAAAAGAGACAGTAATCCTTTTAGATGCATGCGCTGTGTGAGGAAGGGAGGCTTACAGGAACTGTTGTTGAGGGTCTGGTCTCTAAGTGAATGGAGTTCTTGGAGGATCTTGTCCATGGTCTGCTTTTTGTCCTGTAGCTCCTGTAGTTTAGAAAGTTTTGCGCTGGCTGAGGTTGATGCAGTAGTTAATGGGGCAGAGGAAGGTAACTGACCCCGGGAATTATGGGTAGTGCGTGAGCGGCACACCTCTCTTGAAAGAGAGAGGCATTCTGCCTGCCGTCGGTTGTCTGGAACCACCTGAGACTGAGAGAAAGACATTTAAAATGTTATTTAGTGATGCTTGAACAATTAAAAAAAACTCAAAGTAGCTTAACATTAAATTAAATACTATATAAATGTAATGCGGTTATATTACGAGTTCTATTTGTTGTACAAAGAATCAACAAGTTACAGGCGAGTCAAAAAACTGCTTTTACACATGATGGCAAAATAACAAACTGCAAAGTACATCGTAGTAGTATATTAACCAACATTTAATTTTGGAACTCTACAACTTTTATTCTTAAATTGTAGCAATCTGTCTTATATATTTGGGAACACAAATTATATTCAAAAAAATTGCCTGGTTCACTGTCTGGTATGCCTGAGAATCGTGTAGCTGGTTATGAAAGCGCTGGATAAGATCATTGAGTTCATCATTGAGCTCTGAAGTAATGCTCCTGCCAGACACACTTCCAGTAGTCTCTGTAACAACTGTAACACGTAAAACAAATGTAGAACATGTAGAATAAAAACAGAAGCAATTCTAACTTCTAGAGGCACAGATCCCATCTTAAACATCGCTCGTACCAGTGTCATCCATCACTGCTATGGCTAGTTCAGCACTTTGCTGCATGGCCAGTAGTGCAGCTTGACGGCCTTGTAGTGCTCGGAGTTGTTCCTGCTGTTCCAGCATCTTTTTTAGCAAGTCATGCTGCTTTCGCATGTTTTCTAGCTCTTCTTTCTGCTCTCTACAGACCCCATGGCCCTAAAAGAGAGGAAGATTTTAATAGGGCAAAGAGCAAGTATCAACATATGGAACCATATAGCAAGATGCTGAGATTCAAGGTTGTCAGAGACATTGCTGTCAGCTAAGGTCTAGGCTCAACAATAAGCATCACCACTGGCCAGATGCCAGAGCAAAAGACTTTCAGAACAGCTGACATAACGTGCAAAATCTTAAATTAGCTTATCTTCACAGAATCACAGATTTTATGTCTCAACAATAACCTAGGATTTATCGTATGTTTTGGGCACTCTTGGTTTGAATTCTGATCATTTCAAAATTACATTTAAGGCTAACATTTAATATGTACAGGCATTTAACACTTAAAGCAATCTAGTAATCTTGAAGCATCAGTAAATATCAATCACATATCATTTTTACACTTAGACAGTCATTTCTAGATATTACTGTAGGCTTTAATGTATTCTGTAAAAAACTAGTACATTTTATTATGGCAGATCAAACTACTGCCCTGGCCAGGTCAGCAGGGAATACCAAAATCGTTGACATCATATTACACACAAAAGAGAGAAAAAAAAGGAATCATATAAAGCAAAAGACTCAGATATTCCACAAGCACTAAACCCCAAAGCAGCTGGTCATGGATCAGTAATTAAGATATACTGTCCTATTCTAAAGCTCCTTTTTCCTTTGTGGAACTCCCTTCCGTTTTATCCTCAAATGAAATCAATAAAAAGTATAAGGGCTGCTGTTTATAATTTCAGCATTAATATCACAAGCTGACCAGGTGCTACAGTTTTGAACACATTTTTGTGGAGTCATTGCAAAAAAATGTTTAAAGTGAAATTATCATTTTTATGTGCTTTTAAGGCCTGACATTGTATTATCATTTTGCAATGCCAGATCCAGCCCTACCAAGATTTATGTTCCTGAATAACAATATTAGACTGCCCTTGCAGTCAAGTAAAACAGTAAAAACAAAAAGAAATAAAAAGTTTGTAAAGAGGCAGCATGACTCTTACAGTTCCAGGAAATCTGTCAGCATGACATTTCTTCCAGCAGCCTGCTAAATCTCACCAAAACATTAAACATCAAAATGATATACACTCAAATTAAAAGTAATTATGTTTGATATAAAAGTCAGTTAACAATTTTAACTAAATGTAATCTTAAACTTAATCATCAAAACTAAATTTTTCAAACAACTTGCCTGACATTCAGTGACAAACTAAAAACATACAAGAAAGCTCCCATTTGCAGGAGTCAAGGAGTTTTTGTAAGCCATCTTTGCTGACTAAGCATAAACTTCAGATTATCATAAATATTCTAACAGATTAAATCAGACTACTATTCCATTTCATCTAGGATTTCAGAGCAGTTTTTCAAGAGCAGTACAACTTTTACTATCTTACATGTAATTGAAGTTTTCAAGATTATGGAAAATAAATAAACTTCAATATAGTATTTCTCACTTGAACTGAATACAGTCTTCACTGCATAAATATAAAATATGTCCATGTTGCATACTTTTTGTAGCTAGATCATCAATAACAGACAGCAGCAGGTTATTAGATGGCGGTCATTTTAGGACCTGGATGGATTTTCTCTCCCAAATGTTTGCTTTTTACAAGCACCTTTGTTTAGAAAGGCTTTTTGACATGGTGTGCATTTTGACCATTAAAGTGCAGACACTGAGGCCCATGTTCTGAACCACCACACCTCAGCATGCACTCAGAACTAGTACTGGATTCAGATCTCTTTCAAAGCTGGGTTCTGAATAAATAATTTTAATTGTAAGCACTTTCTGTTCTTTAAAGTCTTGCCCATCAACATTTCAATAACTTAAAAGGTATTGAAAAAAAGATTGTGGAGACGTTCAAAATCAAGATGGTATAAAATTGTCAGATCGCTCAACCCTACTTTACATTCCACCTTGCATGCCCTGTACATTGTGATGATCAATGTTCAGTTCAGGCACCAAGATGTCAGAAAGAGCCTTTGTGAGTACTCACAGTGGCACTGGAGGTTTCAGAGCGCGGCTCCAGGTTCAGAGATGTGCTCTCGGCCACCGAGCCTGAACCTACTGCAGAATCCACCGTAGCACCTTCATCATCATCATCATCCTCATTTTCCCTCGCCTGTAGAGCGTAGGGAGGAGGGGGAGGGCTCAGAAAAAACCCAATTTAAAAACTAGCCCATACTTGCAAAAACTGCTACATTTTAGAATTTAAACGGATATAAACTGAACAGGAAAAAGGCAACAGCACAACACAAATGATCTGGTTATTAGATATTTTTCCATTCAATTTCACACTCAAAAACATTACCATGCACAGCTACTGCAAGTGAGGTCACAGTGAAGAGCAAAAGCATGCTGAGGGGAAGAAAGACGACATGTTGCCCTAGATTTGGGCTCCACATTAATCAAGCCAGCACCACCAAGAACAAAGCCTAACACTGCATATCTGTGGTATGATTCAGGTTATTAAGACTGCTGGCCAGGTTTAAGCAACCTCTGAACAGACACCAGACACATTTCAGATGAGGTGCTCTGTATTTGTTTGGCTTGGCATTTATTTCTCTCAACAATACAACATACTTTTTTTTCTCCCAAGTTATTTAAAATGACTTGTATAACTAACATTGAACTTAACATTGAATTATTGTCTTTTGTCATTTATTGTCAAGTTCCAGTCAACATCCAGTTACCTTAAATGAATACATTTAAATGAGTTTTACTTTTAGCAGATTTCAAACTGCACTAAAGTCCCCCAGCAATGTAAAAAAAATTAACTCAAAATACTCAACTCCATTCTAATATGCCATTTTTTATTGTTTTTTCCAGTGGGTTTTAAGAATGCACCAAATGAATGATATTTACATGCTTGATGAGCTTTAATTAGCTTTTTGTATTACTGTTATTATTTTACTTTTCTTTAAAACAACAAATAATTCGCCTCTGACTGTAATAGGTACAGATGTTATAAAGCCATTAAAAATAAAAACAAGCATTAACTTTCACAGCCCTATATTGGATGCTTAGGCAGTGGACAGTAGGCCTTAGAAGGTGTTGTTGTTTAGATTAGATGGAATTTTATACTTTTGTTAATATTAACAAAATTTGCATGCCTGTTTAGTATGTATTTTACATGTATCAGCCACTGAAAAAAACCTACAGTACCCGAACCTTAAATTAATATCATGCTCATACGATCAGCCTAAACAAAGTTCTATTTCCCCTACTGGCAGTAACGGTCATTAGGGTGCATATAAAAGAACAACTTTATAAAAAACAAATAAAGAAAAATACTGACCAGCATCTTTTGAAGAAAACGCAGGTAAGATTTCTCCTGCTCTTTCAAGTGAGTGATGAGGAGAGACAGACGTTCCACGTTTGCAGGCACATCGTTCTTTTCCACCAGGTCGTCTCTCATGGATGTGGCCTTGCCGATGTATTCACGAATTTGCACCAGTTTACTGACAATCTGAATGAAAAAAAAAAACAAGCTGTGTAAATAAACAGGAGCACAAGAAGGAAGAAATGCTAAAGAAATGAGCAAAAAGGTATGCAGACTGAGAAAAAGAAGGAAGTGAACAAAAAAGACAGGGAAGAGAAGAGAAAGAGACCAAGGAAGAGCTCTTACATGGACAGTGGCATATTTTTAAACTGGCCTAAATTCTGAGCGCTCACTGACACATCTGTGCTCCAGTTTTTGCTCAGCAACAACGGGGAGAATGTTCTAATGAATATAGTAGTGTACAGTCTACTTTTATTATTTGAAAAAGCAGATCATTTTAAAGGCTTTTACAACGGTCAGCTTGCTATTCTTAATAAACAGATATATCAGTTTTACAATAAAAATAAGTAGAACAGTTGATTCACATACTTCACAAACATTGTGTTCACACATCATGTGTATGCCGGGTGCAACCAACAAGTGTTGTGCAGTTTAGTTTACCTTAAGCGTGCTGAGCAATTCAGTGTTTTTAGTTAAATATCTTGTGTTAAAACGGCACATTCTCTCCAGCTCCCATTCATAAGCAGAGGGCAGGAGAGATGGCTTTACACACCAACATTCATAATCTTAGCTTTTGTATTGACATGTAATTTATTTACTTTCGATATGCTAAATTTTGTCAAACTATTTTATTTAAAAAAAAATTTAAAAAAACATATTAAAACCGCAAAACAGAATAAAATGTAGGTCTAATCAAGGAAATCAAGGATATTAATATATTTTATCAGTTAATGCATAAAATAGGCTAATCTTTTCAAAAAGTGTGTTTAATTGATCCGAAACTTAATTAGATTTTTTTTTGTAAATTATAAAAGTTGCATCATATCAATGACAACGAACCTGAATACCTGCATGAACAGGACCAAAATTAGGCTACTTTTTTTTTTACATTGGAACAATTGTATACAGTGTCTTCTGACAGCATGACTAGCAAACACATTGGAAAAAAACTGCTGAATCTCCGTGAATATTTGGTTAATTTAGAAAACAACTGTTGTGTCTTTTAGTAATGTTAGGAATGCACAGAAAAATGCAAAGCACAATTTTCCTGAGCTCATTAGCCCAATGATGACAGCCACTTTGTAGTGACTTTTAAGGTGGTTAATTAGGTTTGTTGTCTTGTCCTGGGACGTTTGGATTCAACAGAAGCAAAAACTACCTGATCAACAACACATTCCTAGAAAAATACATGATGCATGTGACGCAGTACAATCCGTAAACTTTACCCATTAAAATAATGGCTTGACTTTTATACCGTAAAATTGCAATGATTTTAATTTATTGATCGTGGGCCACAAATATTGTTATTGTGACAATAATATGAATAATTGTTCAGCCCTAAAAAAAATAAGTGTAAATATCTGATCCAGATTGTTAATGATGCATCACAATATCCTGACTAAATTAATTCTAAAAAGGAAGTAACTATAGAGCCAAAGAGAAACACAAATGCACACAACTCAAGACATTACTAAGATATTAAACATCTTAATTACCTGACTGCTGTCAATGGAAAGCTCTCCCCTCCCATCCTCCAATCCCAACCTCTGGGCACCGTCCAGACTAAAAGGTTCTTTAACTACTGCTGGAACTGGGGCAAACAGCTCTTTCCCAGGACTCTGTTTCTTGTGTTCCTTGCCCCCAGGTGTGGAAGAGGTGGACGCAGTGGGCTCTTTGCTTTTGTTAGTGTTGAGGTGAATTGGCAGAAAGTTGAAAGGTTTCTTGGCCTCAGTAGACAGCTGTCTTTGATTGTTGGCTGCAGTTACACGGCCTTGAGAATCACTGCCAATACTTCTCTGTTGGGATGAAAAGTGATATTTTGGATTACCAAATTATGTCTCTGACATTTGCATTTCCTTTTTAAAGCTGGCCTGAATTTGACGGTGATCTATTTGAGATTAAGGGCCTGCTTCTGAGAATTTGCTTCAGAACAAGTTTAATTCCATGAACTTCCTGTCTTGAAACAGTAGCAAGCTTAAAACTTCAGCCAGATCGAATGCGTAAGTGAAAGCCAGTCATAAACTTAATCCTTTTATAAAGCTCCACTCACCTCATCCAAATCAGTGAAGTTTATGACCTGCCGGAGTCTGTCAAGCTCAGCCTGGTCAGGCACAGACATCTGAGTGCTGTATTTGACATGAGGAAAAGAATGGGGTGTACGTGCTCTCCGTCGCCCTGCTCCAGGGGTAGACTCTGGAGAAATGTCATTAGTTAGCCTGCTCTCTGACATAGCAGAGAACTTCTTTCTGTTCTTCTCAGATGAGCGGTTGGCCTTCTTCTGCTGCACTCCCCAATCCTGAAAGAATGGTGAACCAACATTTATAAACCATACACAATCAGAAAGTTTTGTTGAAGTTTTATTGGTCAAGCTAAACTAAGGGTGCACAACAGCTCTCAAATATTTAATGTTACAAGAATACGTCCTCCTCAAACTGCCAAATAAGCTCGTCTTTCTATCATCACAAACTCAGTTATTTAAATGGCATTTTTGTCAAATCGAAAAATATTTTTAGGATTTATTATGACACAAAATATCAGTAATACTCCTTTTATCTTTTTAGGAATCTTGGCAAAATGTACTGCCAGCAAGTGGCTAAATCAGACTACAGAGGTTATCAGACACCATAAAGGTCATAACAAGGAACAGGAAATCAAATCTATACACTAGTTCAATTTAACAACCTTGTGTGTTTATACTCACACCACTGCAAGAGTTTTGGAAAGCTTTACAGTGAAGATACATACGGATACAGTTCATATCCAATATGGTTAGTTCATATTGTCATATATGACAATAAAAGCTTTTAAAAATCATAAACTTTGCTGGTAACTGAGCTTATTGTCTGCACTAATCCAAAAGTAAACGAAAATCTCCTGCTGGCTGTTTGCTGAGAGAACCAAGGTGATATCAACTTCCGTGTTGGCCTACAAAACATCTCATGCCAGCAGAACTCTTACTCCTCCTGTTACAAGGAAGTGCGAGATCCAGAACTGAATCCTACCATATTGTTGAGTCTATCATCCAAGCTTCCATTGGAGATGGTCCAGTTTTGCATCTCCTGCTCATCTGTGCCATCTTCAAATGGAGTGCCACCCGTTGCCATGATGAACAATCAGAATCTGTAGAAAACAACCATGTATTCTTACACAGGATTAACCAAAATAAATATATATACCTTTAATCAATCTTTTTAGTTTCATGCGGAAAAATGAAATTTGACCAGCTGCCAAGAATTATTTAAAATGCATATTTCATTCAAATTTCAAATGTCATAATTTACTCTCACTTTACTTAATCCAAACCTGTTTGACTTTCTTCTGATGAACAGAGAAAACTATTTTGAAGAAAGCTGGAAATCTTCAACCATTAATAGTTTTAATTAATAATTTTCAGCTTTTTTAAAAACAACTATTGGAACCTCTAAGTTAGGTAAAAACAAAGACTATAAAATACACAAGGCATGACACTTTTATCTTTTTGAATGGGGAAAACGTATCGGTCGATATGGCGAATAAAGCCCCACCGTCTAGTACTGGAGACAATCATCAGTCACTATATGACGAATAAAGCCCACCTTCTTGTAAAGGAGCAAATCATCATTCACTATAGACTGACAATACTTTGGTGGAGGTGAGTTCAAACCAGAGGTGAGTTTCTGCAGAATTTGAGTGATTCGAGCATTTAGAAATAATACTAACGGGACAGTTGTCATTTAATTTTATAGATAATTCCTAATATGAAATTCAATCATAAGCTTGGCAAGCAGTTTTGGAGAATTGCATTTCCCCAATCAAACAGAATGCCTGAGCATACTGCCTGAGAGGATATTCAAAGAGGGCCACCGAGTAAAAAGACTTGCCTTTAAAGGACTTTGGTCTAAAACTTGGAACCTGTAGGTTGAGTAAATTTTCATTTTTTTGGTGAACTATCCCTTTAACATGCCAAACTAGCATAACAGCATTAACCTGAAAAACTTTTAAACAACTAACAGTTATACAACACTTTAATTGAAATACAGAGAAATGTTTGTTTTGCTGCGTAATTTTACACAGTAAAGTTCAATTAGTCAAATTTTATTTAATGTTTTGCTCTGACTGCAAAAATGAGCCCATTATGTTGAGCGCAGATATGAGCTCAAAAATTTCTCTAAATTTCATTAATAAATGTGTATAGAAAGATTGCTAATACGATATATATAGCACAATCGGTTGGCAAGTATATTGCGTGGATATGTTTGTAAATCTAACTTTTGACACCAGCCACAAACCTCACCGCACGTCACTGCTTTTGATAGTATTAACTTTCTTGTAAAAATCGTGTTGCTTCATCTACCGGAGCTACAATTATTAATAGTTTTGTCTGTAAAGTATTATTATTATTATTATTACAATTATTATTATTATTATTATTATTATTATTATTATATGGCCTTTTAAAGTCTCAGTGGCCATTGACTAACATTTGTGAATCAACAAGGACAACTGATAATCTCTAACTTTACTGCAAAAATGTAGCCTACATCTTGGACATTACCAGCAAATATATCAACTATATTACCCTTTAATAATGCATTTGTGGGACATTTTTTTGTCAGTTGTGCCACAAGTCCCCATAATTAAGTTGTGACGCTGAATTATAATATCATTTAAAAGTAATGTAGTAACTTACAAATGTCCAGTAACGTTAAAGGCAATACAACGATACGTTATAATGTTTTATATAAAATGTTAGTATGATAACGTTATTGAATAAGTTAATTGTTGTTTTCGAGCTAAGATCATATATAAACGTTAGTCCTACACTGACAGCAAATATACGGTTAATGTTCAAAAATAATAAAATACATAACGTTAATGTTATTTTATTATAATTGTAACTTAACTTACTTTCGAAAGCTGAAGTCCTTGCTTTAGTCCCCTTAAGAAAATAACGGTAACGTTAACGTTAAACGGGTCTGGAAATCGGTCTCGTTTATGAGCGGCAAGTTAAGTTAGATCCGTTGAAACGGTTGACGAGGTCAACCTGATCAATTTCCCTGCTAACTGTCAACACTCGCTTCTCTCCATGCTCCCACCAGTGTAACGTAAGGAGAAAATCTGCTGAACACGTTTTCTTAATATTTCAGGACAAACCCGAATGGTTAATACCGGAGTTTGGGGTGCAACCCCCTCACAAACATAAAACAGGGATTTTATGGCGAGTAACGTTAAAGGTTTTGGGTCTGTCACTATGGTAACCTCTGGCACGAAACTACAATCCCCGCGAAAACTCCCGGCTAAAAAATGAATCCCAACCAAAAACAACAACAATTCATCTAAACGACTCAGGTCTAGTTAATATAAACAGTAAACATTAGAGTCTGAAGCTAAATGTCAAATAAGTTTGAGAGCGTAATTAAATTTTTTACCACATTTCGTGTCACTAAACTTGTCCACCTGACACAAAGGCATCTGACCGGTGCATCACTCTGAGACAACACGAGCCACTTCGGCCACCCTCAAGCATTCCAGATCCATTCGTTTCATTTTAAAATGTTGTAAATGTTAATCAAATGATAGCAAAACCTTCACAATTGAGTGAAAGTTCATTCCAGGAAACATAAGCAGAAATGTATTAAAATAACTTTCAATTTCATGTGAGGGAGCTAGCAAGCTAACAGAAGTTGAGAGAGAAACAACTGAAAGAGCAAAGCTAGCTTATTGATTTAACTTACTGAATATTTAGCGAGCTTACCTTGAACGTTGTGGCGAACTCTTACAGTGGCACAAAAATAATTCCCATATGAAGCTCTGTAAAAATCCAAGATAAAGTGTCAATGCGTAGTGTGCTTTCCACTCGAAGTGACTGCATCTCCAGTGGCAGCCATCTTTACCCCATATCCAAACAAACCGGCGGAAGAACATCGCTCTCATTTTCAATAAAGCATAATTTGCCGTGAGTTTCTTTCGGCTTGCTGTGTGCTTCAACATTAAATTTTATATGTTTGTATTTCAAGATGAGGTAATCAAAAATGACAAGCTAATCAATAAATTAAGGTATTAAAAAGTGGCACTACTTTACTTCTCGGAAGCATCTTGAACAATTGAAGAAGTGTTGCGCGATGTCTTAAAAGTACAGATGCAAAAAATGTGACTGATGGAATGATGGAGTGAAACTGCAAAATAATTAAGCATTTTTAAAGAACACTTACGGATCGGAAGATAAAATATTAAATAATGTCAATTAATAGTTAACGAAACATGTTCACATAGATTTTTTCCATGAAAATAAAAAAGCAACGTCAAGGGCAAACCCTTGTACAACTGCAAGGTTAAAATGATAGTATCACAATTGTTTTATCTTTAAAAGTGCATAGCCAACCTTATTGTTTTTACATAGATTAATACATAGGTTCTTCATCTTTGTGTTAGAAATCTGCAGGGCCTAGAACAATATTATTGGTCTTAATTATTATAATAAAATAATTTAATAATTAAAAAAAAATATATATTGTTTATTGTTATTTCATGTGGTCCATTCTTTATCAATACAAATAAATACTAAGTGAAAATAATTTACAACATGTATTGACTTGGTGTTCTAAGACTTGTCCACCTGACTGGTGCACCACTCAGAGACAAGACGAGCCACTCCGGCCACCTTCAAGCATTCCAGATCCATCGGTTTCATTTAAAACATTTGTAAATGTTGATTAAATGATAGCAAAACCTTCACATTTGAGTGATAGTTTGAGTGATAGACACTCCAGGATACGAAATAGGCTGAAATGTATTAAAATAACTTTCAATTTATAAGGGAGCTAAAATAAATTCACAACATGTACTGACTTAGGGTTAGATTTATCAGGAGTTGGTTGCTTATAACAAGAACACACAGTAAAACAGGGTGATTTAAAAGAATACCACAAGCTTCGGGTTGATGTCACTTTGACACTGAGTGTCTGGAGGGGGTCATATTGAACATCTTCTGTGAACTTGTTTTTTTCCCAGTGTTGGGTTGCAGCTGGAAAGGCATCCGCTACGTAAAATATATGCTGGATAAGTTGGCGGTTCATTCCGCTGTGGCGACCCCTGATTAATAAAGGGACTAAGCCAAAAATAAAATAAATGAATGAACTTGTTTACTGAAAAAAAAACTTTAAGTGCTCTTCACATTGATTAATTACCCAAGGTTCCATACTGTTTCTTTAATTAAATACAGATTTTTTTAAAGTCGTGGTATTCTTTTTGAATTGCTCTGTATTACTGATATCATAATAATGCAGGCTACATCTAGTACATCACTGAATTATATTTTTCAACATGTATATGGATTGTTTTCTGTTATACAGATATGTTTCTAATAGCTAGTGTTTGCATCACCCCTGATGCAATATTGTTATTGATCCATAGATTTCAAAATCATGAAGTTTGCAAGAAAAATACTGTTGACTGCATTTTGGTAAGCAGTATTTTGAGCTAATTCAGTTGATAAGCAATGTTCATGGATATTGACATGCACGCATACTGTACTACAGTGTGTATGTGTTCTCTCGAACATGCACACACATGCCCTCTATAATGCACCATTCCTGGCATCTTAAGCTCCTTAAAGAAATAGCTCAACCCTCAAAGTTGTTCCAATCCTCTATACATTTCTTAATTCTGCAAAAGTCAATATATCAATAACCAATAAGAAATAGGTGCTAATTTTTCCTACTATGGCAGTAAATGAGTGGCAAGATCTGATTGGTACTGACATTCTTCCAAATATCTTGTTTTGAGTTTGGCAGGACAAATTAGTTTATATGGATTTGGAACAACCTGAGGGGGAGCAAAGTATGGAAGAATTTAAATTTTTGGGTGACCCATTATTCTAACACGCACACACCCTCACACACATGCCCACGTGAAAGCGTGAAAGTTATATTGCGATTAGTATGTTTATAAGAGAGCCTAGCAAACAGAACCTTGTTCCCAAGTCCTTTTGTCCAGGTTTTCTGAAAATTATGAACAGACAGTACTTTAATGTACTAATGTTCTTAAAATTAAAGTACAAAAGCGATTTATTGATCTCTCCCCAAACCCTAAAACATTTGTCTATTTTTTTTCAGTTGCTGTTGTTTAATTTTTTGTGATTTAACAAGAAGATATTCTGAATAATGTGGATAACAAGACAGTCGCTGGTTTCTGTTGACTTCCATAGCATAGAAGAAATAAAAATCAATAAAAATAAGTAAATAAAAAATATTGTCTTTTATTTTTAGCAGAGGAAATAAGTTCATTACTTTAGGTAAAGTACATTTTGAACTTTCAAAGAACCTGCAGACATGTTTTCCTTTTTTATGAGAGAGCATTTGTAAATATTCTTAAAAAAATCTTTTTATTAATTAATTTAGGAAGAATATATTTTCATTTTGTTCTAATATAATTTCCTTTATCCTATATACTATTAAACTCAAATAATTTGTGTTAGCCGGGCGATGCGTTGGCGCATTTAAGTGCTGTCGCCTCACAGCAAGAACGTTACTGGTTCGAGCCTCGGCTGAGTCAGTTGGAGCTTCTGTGTGGAGTTTGCTTGTTTTTCCCGTGTTCTCATGGGTTCCTCCAGGTGCTCCGGTTTCCCCCACAGTCCAAAGACATGCGGTATACAGGTGAATTGGGTAGGCTTAATTGTCTGCAGTGTGTGAGTGTGAATGAGCATGTATGGATGTTTCCCAGAGATGGGTTGCAGCTGGAAGGGCATCCGCTGCCTAAAACGTACTGAATAAGTTGGTGTTTCATTCCGCTGTGGTGACCCCAGATTGATAAAGGGACTAAGCCGAAAAAAAAAGTGAATGAATTTGTGTTAGCCATAACATAATTTTTCAGTTGATTTTTTTTGTTCTAATATAATTTCCTTTAAACTGTAAAATATGTAGAAAAACAAAAATATTAAAAACCCAAATATAAATAATAATACATTTTGTTTTCAAAAATAAGGCAATTTTTCCAGGATATTTAATATTCCATATTTCCCCTTATGTCCACAATGTGTCATCTTTCATTTGATAAAAATTAATTTAGACAGGAATATATTAATAGGAAAATATATTTTAATTTTGTTCTAATATAATTTCTTTTATTCTTTAAACTGTAAAATTTGTAGAAAAACTAAAATATTATTAACACAAATCATAATACTAACAATATGTTTTGTCTTTTTTCCAGTATATTCAACATTCCGTATTTTCCTTTACGCCCACAGTGTCACTCTCCTTCATTTGATTTCTCACTGAGCGAAAATGTTTAGCTTCAACCACAGGGTGGCAGTATAGGTTAAAGGAACGATTCACCCAAAAGCAAAACGAATTGTTTGGCTATCATTGCCCTTTCTGTGCATTGCATCCAACGTTTTGGTTAATCAAAGTAACAATAATGAAGTGCTTAAAGTGATGAAATTACATAAAATGACCCAAATTTTCACTGAACTCTCCTTATTCTAGCTTTGACATGCTAGTATTGTAGCCTATTCGTTTATCTTGTGTAAATTTATAAAAACCCCTTTAAACATAACACAAATGACAAAATAACCAATACAAACTGTAAAGATAAACATCCAGAAATTTAATGCATTCGTTAAAAAAATAATAATAATAATAATGAAATAAAGCCAAGAAGGGCACTGCGGTCGAGAAAGGGACACACTCACACCTAAAGCATTCTGGATGTGTGAGCCACTGGACACAGTTCGGGAAAGAGAGAGAGAGAGAGAGAATTAAATACATTCCACGAAATTAGGAACAGAAACCTGGATCGATATTCAATCCAGCTAAAAGGTGAGGCTTTTCTTTAAAGTTCTTTCCTCTCTGTATACAGTTCATACTTAAAAAAAACAATACTTCAGTTGTTCATCCATTTCGAGAGCATCATATAGAGTTCTGGTGAGCACAAAGAAAAAAAATACAGCTTTACATGTTTTACTTACTATGCACAAACCAATTTAATCATAAAAAAAAGAATAAAAGAAAACAAAGAGAACAGAAAAATGGCGGTCCGAGAGAGAGATACTCTATGTACAAGCCCTGAGGTATGTTCCCTCCTCAGAGAAATGTAAGTGTTTGTGTGTAAGATGGTGAGGGGGACAAACAACATGAAAACAAGTGTGTAACAGAACAAGGCAATTCCTTGATCTACAAGTGCAACTGTGCATCATTGTCTTTATCTGGAAAGGGAACATGTATAAACTGTACACATCTTTACAAACTGTACAAGTCCTATTATAGGAATAAAATGGGTCCATTGGAGCCTCGGCGTGAGGATGGATCGGAGGTTATCTGGGTGATATGGGGGCTGTGGAGAAGGAGCCGGAGTTTCGGGGTGAGGGGAAGGGAGAGGAGGGCGAGAGGCGTCGAGGGCTGCACAGGTCACCATTGTGGAGCTTCCACAGCAGCTCCTCGTTCTCCATTGACAGCCGTTTGTTGACCTTTGACTCTTTCTGTAGGGTCTGTTGAAGCATGGCCTGCTCCGTGGAGAGTTGCCTACAGTCAAACAGGAAAAATTAATAAACATTAATCGTGAAGTTCTAAGATTTGACAGTTGATGCAATAAATAAAATGGCAGGCTGGATACTAGATAGGAGAAGATGATTAGGAGAAGTTTAATAGGCTATTACACCTGTGTGCAGCAATTATTGTTTTAAAATATTGCCAGATAAAGGTGACATTGTATATTATTTTGAAAAGCAACAACAACAACATTAAATGTCCTTTGAAGTGTTTTGAAACGTGCATTTTTATTTGATGTTTGTTCGTAATCTCAACCGAAAAGGAATAGAAGGCGGGACATAGTGTAGTTCCACCTCTTTTTTAAAACAGCCAGTAGTGTTTTGTTTAATCACAGCTTTGTCAATGAGAGTGGTTGAGCCCAAGCGCATCAAATGACAAGCAGCTGAGAAACGTCTTGAAGGGGCAGGGCATGTCAGATACTAGAGAGCATTTGATTGGTTATGATGTGATGATGAGAAACTGTACACTTCAAAAACAGTGAGTTATTTATTTAACCCAATGGTTGAGTTAAAAATAATTGGTGCTTTGTTGGGTTACTTTTAACCTTTATTGGGTTATTCAATAATAACTCAGCAAGTTGGGTTAAATATTTGGTGCTTTGTTAGGTTATTTTTATGATTATATAAAATATAATTATAATTATTATAAATATATACATCTTAACTAGTTGGGTTAACATTTTAGAATTTCAAGTCAACTGATTTAACTGAAACAGGGGAGCTGTATTAACACACATACTTCATGTTGTTTTGCGTTTATTTAAGTTTGTTTAAGCTCTAACGCACTAACGTTGTTGTTATTTTTTTTTAGCAAATGACCTCTCTGCATCGTGTTTTTATATCTGTGTTACCAGCACTCTTAATGATAGATGATACAAACGAGTGCTTCATAGCCGATCTAACGTTATATAAAACAAATAAAAAAAAAATGCTTTCTGTAACTCCTGTGTTCATCTCCACAATTTTTTTTGAAATGATACACATATTTGAAATGTGTTTTGGAGCACACTAGTTTATAGACCTCAAAAACTAACAATACTGATACTAACATCTAAAAAACTTTATTTTAATTTCATGGGATCTTTGAGAGACTAAAAGCATTCACTGTATGATTCATATGCTTCATCGCCTATTGGAATGAAGTTAAAATGACCTATAATTTAACTTAGGAGAGTAAAAAAAAACTATTGTTTTTGCTTTGTACATCACAACCAAAATAAAAGCACATATTTGTGACACATATAAATAAAAGTCTACAAAAAAATTGCTACACAGATATTTTAATTTATAAATAATCTTTATCATATATATATATATATATATATATATATATATATATATATATATATATATATATATATATATATATATTATCTGAATATAAATATATAAGATATATTTAAATTAGATAATACATATTTAAGTAATATCACACAAGCCAGAGTGCCGTTTTTTGAATAACAAAGGATATAATATTATATATAAACTACACACACACACACACACACACACACACACGCACACACACACACACACACACACACACACACACACACTTACACTCACACTCACACACACTGTTGAAGTCAGAATTATTAGCCCCCTTGAATTATCATCCCCCTGTTTATTTTTTTCCCTAAACTTCTGTTTAACAGAGATATTTTTTCAGCACATTTCTAAACATAATAGTTTTAATAACTCATTTCTAATAACTGATTTATTTTATCTTTGCCATGATGACAGTAAATAATATTTTACAAGATATTTTTCAAGACACTTCTATACAGCTTAAAGTGACAATTAGAGGCTTACTTAATTAATTAGGTTAACTAGGTAGATTAGGGTAATTAGGCAAGTTATTGTATGTTGATGGTTTGTTCTATAGACTATCGATAAAAAAAAATTAGCCCCCTTATTAAAGGGGTAATAATTTTTTATATATTTTTGAAAAAAATGTCCTTAAAATGGTTCATAAAGAATTTAAATCCAAAGCAAAATGAAACATATCTTATGCCTCTGCAGCAACACTGCAGTATTTTCCCCTTGAATGAATCTCTTCATCATTCAGCACAAAAACACACTTAGCAAAATCACAAAATACTGAGTGACCATTTTTGCAAACTATTTAGCTTACCTTGACAGTGCAGCGTGTTTGTCCATTCTAGCCTTGTAGTCCTCGTTTTCTTGCTGGACTTTGTTCAAACACTCTTCCAGTTTCAAGTTATCATCTATCTGTAGACATGGATAAAAACATTACACAAATAGACAAATAGAATTTTTACACAATTTAAATGAAGCTAGGAAAAAAAATATTTTGATTGCCCCATTTTAAGTCACCTGAACTGTTATTGCACTGCAAAAAGTGCTTTAATTATTTAGATATTTTGTCTTGTTTCAAGTCCAAATATGTACAAATTCTTAAATCAGGAAGCATTTTTAGAAAAGCAAAAAAGTCTTGTTTTAAGAGATAATGTCAAAATTAATAAAATTTTTCCTTGAAATAAGCAAATTCATCTGCCAGTGGGGTGAACAAAAAAATTGGGTTTTTCCTTTAGACTATGTCATTCATTTATTCTGTAATACATGGTATTGCCCTAACATTTAAGGCCATATTTTGTATTATTCAATAAATATCTGATAATGACACTAATTTTGGTGATGGTAATTAAGTAAAAGCAATGTTACAGCAGACTTTTTAATGGAGGTTCGTTAAAAAAACTTTGGTCCATATGGCTATTTAAACTAAACTGACTCATAATGCAATGAGGGGTCTATAGGGACATCAAATGTGTACATTTATTATCAGTCCTCACCAGTTTGTCCATCTGCATGAGTTTCTTGTCTTTCTGGTGTATCTGGTTGGTCTTTATTTCCAGCACAGCTCTGAGACTCTCCAGTTCTTGCTCCAAATACAGTGTATGCGCGTCCTTCTGCACACAGAGAAACAGCTGCTTAGTTTGAGATTCACCACGTAAAGTGACTGAGCATCTCTGCAGTTTACAGGCTTCCTAAGGGTCACTGTAAAAGGCTTTACATGGTCTAAGCTGAAATCACACTAACCCCATTGACACTACAGGTAGGGATATTTTTTTAAAAGCTTAATGAAATAAAGTAGCAGGAAAATATAAATATGTACAATGAACTAAACAAGTATAATGAATTAAATAAATATTCATTCATTTTTTTTTAACACATATGAGTAATGTTTTTCACAAAAAAAAAAAAAAAGACTGAATTTTACTCACAAAAATTGTGCAAAATTTTTACTTATCCTGCATTTCTTTCAAACATGTTTCTTTGCTCTGTTGAACTCAAAAGATATTGGAAACCAGTAGCCAATTTCATTCACTGTATTTTTTCTATGGATATCTTTTTTGTGCGTGTTCAACAGAAAAATGTAACTCATAAAGGTTTGAGACCACTTTAGAGTGTACATTTTTGTTTTTATTTTAGGTAAACAATCCCTTTAAGGTTTGATGTAAATGCTAGTTAAACTAGTTAAATTAAATAAAGCTAAACTAAAAGTATTAGAGATGTAAACCTGTGAAACATGCCAATCTTGTCTCTAAGTAAAATAAAATAAATTCGTAACACTTTATTTTGATGTTCCATTTGAGTAATAGTACTCTCTCTGCTTAATATCTGTTGATTCTGCTCCTTCAATAGACATTTAAGAAACTTTGCAAGTACATGCCAACTTACTCTAACCACAACCTAACAGTCTACTTATAACCTAATGACAATTAGTTGGCATGTAATAGCAATGTAACTTAAATTCAACAGATGATCAAAATAAAGTGAACAATAAATTTAACTACTAAAATTGCTCAATTTGAAATGGAAACTAAAGCCAAAAAGCCAAAGCCAAAACATTTTAACAACATTTAAATGAAAGAAATGACAAAAGCATGTACAGAATTAACTTTAATATTTCAATTAAAATTACAATCAATATCAATTCATTAAAAAATTAACTGGAAATCATAATCATAAACCGATTTTAGTTTTAACTTTTGTTTTGTCCAAGGAAGTAATACACAAATATGCAATCAGAAACAAATTTATTCAATAATGCCAAGTGTAAATCATCCCTAAAGTTGTATTGAGAATAATGCATTTCATTGTACATCTTACCTGGCTTTTGTCAGCCGCAGCTCTCCTCCACTCCTGCTCCTCTCTCAGTCTTTCTTTCAAAGCCTCATTTTCTGCTGTCAAAGTCTCTATCTTCTCCTGTAGTGAAGACAACAGCGATCAAATAAACAATTAACAAAAAAAAAGCAAAGACACAAAGTAAAGATCTCAAATATTCCAAGTTAAACAGTAAGGGAAATGATGAGATGGTGATGCATACATTAAGCATGGCCTCAGACTCCTTGAGCGTTTTGTCAAGTTCTTGCATGTCATTTTCATGAGCCTTCTTGAGCTCTGGAAAAGGGGAGAAGAAAAAAATCTTTGTCATACAGGAAGATCAAGATCAAATTCAAAATACAGTACATTAAACAAAAGCAGAAACTGTCGATGACTGCAGTGAAATCACCTGTGAGTGAAGTCTCATGTTCATGTTTCAGTGTTGCTATTTGCTCAGTGTGTGCCGCTTCCTGCTGCTTCCTCAGTGCTTCTTGTTTGTACCTCACATCCTCCACCTGTGAGTAGAAATCATACCCATCAACAATGAAAACACTAAACATGCAGCGCCTTCAGCTAATATTAGCAACTCTGCCGTTCTCCAGATGTGCTTCTTAGGGTGCTTTCACCTGTGAATCGATTCATTTGTTCCAAAACAGGGATTGAAATTGTTACTTTGTTGCTCTTTGCTCTTGGTGCGGTTCGCTTTTACACTGCAAAGTTTCTAATCGGACCAAAAGGGCTAAAACAAGTCACGTGTGAATAAACTCTCCTTACATTGGTCAGAGATTCACGGTTTATTTTGATGAGTCATGCTCAGCAGTCAGGGGAGGTGGTGGTTTGGTGGTGTTTGACAAGTTGTTTGGCCAGCGACGTGTCTGAAGAGCGAGGAGAGATGCGGTAGGGAGGGGTGAGAAGGGCGCACAACGTATTTGAGGACCGGGAGGGAGACGCGAGATTACCGGAAGATTATCACTCGTCTGCGGGCATCAGGGAGATTCCCGAAACTTCCCGCCCTACTCATAATTCTCTCTTCATATAGCCGTATGCCTATTACATATCCATAAAACAGTGTGATATAACCGCGCTCGGATCATATCGCTTTCTCACTGCAATCGATCCGCTCCAGAGTTCGTTTCATTTGAGCCAAGACCACCTCATTCAAGCGATCTCGGAGCGGTTGATTTGGCGTAGATCCTAGCGCGATGGTTTCACATATGCCAAACGAACCGCGCTAACTGGCCATCGAGACCGGTTCCGAAACAAAAGCGTAGGTGTGAAAGCACCCTTAGATTTTTGGCCTTCTGAAGTGTTCGCTTAACAGTGCAATTGGCCGGGATATACAGATGTCCTCTTCATAGGCCAATTCATAACACTTCCATTTGACTATTTTCTTAATAATTGCCCTGATGGCAGCTGTAGTTGATTTAGCTATTTTATTATATAATGTGTAAAGTTCAACAACCTTTTGCAGCAACTCATACTTCTGTTATTTGGTTTAATAGTTTATGTTATAAATAAATGGCCTGTTTGTTACTGAACCTCATATCTAAAGTCCTGTTAAGCAGGAAGTCATAGCTGACTAACTTCCTGTAGTTAGAAATCAAGGTGTATTAAATCACTATGAAATATGAATGGGAATATTCTTTGAAAATATATAGCTCATAAGAATTCATAGGAGTGTCAAAACCTGTGGCACACATACATTTAACAGAGATATTTGTTTATTTGATGAAACATTTAATGTTTGCAAGCATTTATTCTTAATGAGAGCATAGTTTATTTATAATGTATTATATTTGTGCAAAAGATCGAAGGTTTAAACAATAAAGACACAGCCTTCCTTGCTTACTTGTACCAAGAGTGATAATGTTAATTGATGACCCTGTATATAGGTCTGCTTTTGCCAAATAAAGCAAACATTATGATTCAGTTACTGGTGCCTTTTATTTACAGCCTGTGGTTCAATCAAACATGCAAATAAAAGGACAAAAATGCATTCATTTTTAGATTTAAAGAGTCAGTTCATCCAAAAATGAAAATTCGGTTTATAATTACTTACCTTCATACCTCTTTAATCCCTTGAGAACTTTGATCATCTTCAGAACACACAATTAAGATGTTTTAGAGAAAACCAGAGAGCTCCTCAAAGGTCCTGAAGTGTTCAAAGTCCAGAAAATGAAACCAAAAATATTGTCAAACATTTCATGTGACTTCAGTGGTAATCAAACGAAGCTCCAAGAACACTTTTTTGCCCCCAATAAAACTGTAAAAATGACTTTGTTCACCTATGTTCACCTTAGAGCGTACTCATACTATGTACAGTTGCCTTGAACCGGGCCAAAGCACACTTGTCCCCCCTCCCATCTCCCCCAACGGCCCACACTCACATTACATTCGGGCCTGTGCACGCTTACGTCATCGATTATGCGCTGTTCAGCAGAGAAGCGCTCTCCCTCAGCATAGTGGAGATTCCTTCAGTTTTATCGTTTAAGTCACTTGTTCTGCTGTGACCCGCAGTCAAATATTTAGCTGAACAGATCAGCCACTTTTGACGCTTATAAACCTTGTGCTGCAGGAATTAGGAGGTTTGCTGAAGGCACAGCTGTCGTGCAGTGAGGGGTTTGTGCCTTTAATAAACTATGACAGTTAGCGTTCATTGAACAGTAAGAATGAATATTAAATCCATATTAAACAGACCCTTAATAGTCAAGTCTCGCTTTCAGTTTCGGGCTCAGGCACGTACCATGCCAAAGCCCAAATGAACCCTGAGCCCGATTCAGAGCACTCACACTTCTCAAACAATCCGGTAAACGGGCCTGGCACGGTTGGGATAGCATAGTGTGAATAGACCCTTAGATTGCAGAGCAAATTTACTATGGACAAAACGTTGCTGTTCTGTTGCGTTGCTGACTCTAATTGCAATATGTTTTATTGCCAAAAGGAAATGCTAACCTGACTAGAAATAGAAAACCTTGGCAAACAAAGCTCTATTTACAGTTTTTTTGGCCAACAAAAGTGTTCTTGGAGCTTCATATGACTACAGATGAACCACTGAAGTCACACGAAAATGTTCTGGGTTCATTTTATAGGCTGTTGTTGTCTATGGAGGATGAGAAAGCTCTCGGATTTTATGTAAAATATCTTAATGTGTGTTCCGAAGATGAGAGTCTCAGGCGATTGAAATTATATGAAGTTGAATAATTAATACCAGCATTTTTATTTTTGGGTGAACTAATGCTTTTAAGATGTTGTGACTGTTAAGTAATCAGAAGTAAGCACAGGTCAGATCTTACCTGCTGCTGCATGAGCACCCTGCATTTATCCGCCTCTCTCTGATAGGCCTCGTGGGTTTTGTCCCATTCTGCAGAGTAGAAGTCCTTCAGTCTCTCCTCCAGTTGCTGCAGTTCAGACTGATGCTGCTCCTGAAGTTTCTGAAACAGAGCCTCCAAAGTCACACGGACCTCCTCCTTCTCTTTCTCCAACTGCTCGCAACATGAGACAGAGTTACCTGGGGAATCAAGGAGACATGAGGATGTTAGGAAGATCTGATTCCTGATTTTGTCTTCGGAAATCTTAAAGGAACACTCTACAGTACTTCTTTTGGAAATAGGCTCATTTTTAAGTCATTTACAGTTAAACAATTTACCATTTTTAAAACCATTTAGCCAATATGGTTCTGGAGGGAACACTTTTAGCTTAGCATAAATAATTGAATCGGATTAGACCATTAGCATCTCACTCATATTTAACCCTTTCAGGCTCAAATAAACTTTTAGAAACAGGCAAAATCTATGCTTTTAACTGTTGCAAATCAGCAACGCCTGCATTGAGAGGGTTAAAAAAAAGGTTTTTATAATTCTCCTATTTGACAATTGACTTCTGTAGTTGCAAAGTGAACAAAAACTGACAGAAAAATGCCATATCAGCATAAAAAACAGCAACGTTTCATTTTCTGTTGGTCTTAGTACACAACGTAACTACAGAAGAGGAAATTTTTATATAGGAAAATTATAAAAATTTTTTTTGAGTGAGACGCTAATGGTCTAATCCGATTCAATGACTTATGCCAAGCTAAAATATGCTAAAAGTGCTGCCACCAAACCCAGATCAGCAGAATGGTTTCAAAAATAGTAACAAATTATCAAAACTCTTTGTTTTGAGTTGAGCAAGATATTACTGGTCCAATTCAATGATGTGTGCTAAGCTTAGCTAAAAGCTCATTTAGTGGAGTTGTAAATTGAGCCTTCCATTAAACTGAGTGTTCCTTTAAGAGTAATATGGAGCTAAGTACTAGTAGTGTATTTCCAACATACATTGGCTACTGGACATAAAAGCTGGTATAAAATCTGTTGTAGTATTTCAGAACAATGTAAAATTACCTTGCATCTTGAAAAATTTTTTGTTGAGACTACCTTCGCACAAACATTTTGATGAGACTCTTCCTACTAACAAATTTTGTAACACTACATCAATCTATTAAGAGTACACAGTGTAATGCATGAGCATACTCCTTATGGGAAGAAACCCATTTTAGAAAGAGTAACAGAGAGCAATTTTGTTATGACACCGCATAATGTAATGAATTAAATGTTGAATTGAGTCTAGGAAGCGTCTCACTATTTATAGATCCAGTAGAACCTGCCACAAAATTTTGAATGCATCAGTGGAAGTAATCACTAAAGATTAAAATAAAAATAATAATAGATATAGAATGTAAATTTAAACACCATGCACATATATACCAATGTTGTCATTTTCAGTTATTAAAATAAAGTAGAAATCAAATATTGTATGAAAAACAACTCAAATACTCTAGGGGAGACATTTTCATAAAACAAAATAAAATAAAAATAAAATAAACAGACAAAATTTTTAGCCCTCCAGTGAAATGTTTAATTCGTTTCCAAAATCATTTAAAAAAAAGCAAGGATAAAAAACAGATTTTTTTTTTTGATTTCCTAAAATATATTTGTTATATTTTTAATACATTTAGCTTTATTTGTTTATTTTAGTGTGTCTGGAAGATGATGCAATTTTTTTTATTTAATGCCAAGTGAGCAACCAAGGCTACTTTCATGGCAGGAACATTTCAATAATAAATATACAATTAAAAAAATCAACAAACAGAGTTTTAGTGTTAATACATGATAAAAACTCTAAAATCTTTTCTGGTGTCACTTTGCTAAAAATGTCCTTAAAAGAGTTAATTTCATTTAAAAAAGTCTTCTGCACAAGCAGGACAGTCCAGTAAAATGTGTTTTATAGTAAGGGGAATTGTGCAGTACATACACTAAATAGGGTTTTCACCTTGGAGCAAAAAAACATGGGTTATTCTTGTATGTCCAAAACAACATCAGGTAAAAACCACTTAATCAAGTCTAGTCTTAAAATGTCTTAAAATTCTGTGTGAGATTTCAGGTTGGATAATTTATTATTTTATAAATATATATAATTTATAATTTATTATTTTAATAATTAATAATAATAATAATAATAAAAAAATAAATATTTTATACTTAAAAATGTCATAAATGCTAGGGTCATTATTAATAGCCCCCTCTAAGAATGTTTTTGAATGACTACAGAAAAAAATTTGCAATATCTTGAATAATAAACAAAATCTACATTAACTATTAATAAACAACATGCAAGAATCTCACATAAAATCTAGAATATACTTTATTTCCTAAACAGCCTTTAAAATCCAGATTTGATTCTAGAATAAACTGAGGTAAGTTTCTATTCCACTGGACTGAATCAACAGAAATCAACCTCAACAGAGACGTGCACAGGCTGAAGACTGCTGCGACGTCCTCCCTCAAATTTTCCATGCTTATTCAAGTCTGGCACGTATGTGTGAGCAGCACATGTTTTTGAAGCCTCAGGATAACCATTTCTTTCTTTTAATTCTGTGAGGTAAACTTTAGGAGCACCGTGTCATTTGGCCAACTGCACCTTTAAACCCACACACAGAATCCACTGTGAGTGAAAGATTCCTCATTCGCCACACACAACCTTCACACTTGTCTCGAAGCCAAAGGCCACGACAGTAAGGTCAGACTAATTAAACACAACAAGCAGCACATCCTTAACATTCTGCAGCATTAGAAATGTGTGTCTGGGCTTGCCAAAAATGTGTGTGTGTATGTGTATTCAAGGTACAAACTCATTGGGGTGTCATCGTATTTTGTTACAAACACATAAAAACAAACGCACTGACTCAAAACACAGCGAAAAGCCGCCAAATGTCTACAGGGCGCAATAAAACAGGTGTGATTGCTGGGTGGTTGATCCTATCAGTTTCCCAACTCCCAAACATGGAGTTGTACAGTTCCATCAATACGATGCTCATCAGAACAGAGCATTCAACAGGATAAAACATGAAACAGCCCAACTCTGGAATGTACAAAATAACATAAATGAAGAACAAATATGTGACTAGCAAATCAAGGCAAGGCTTGTACACCTCACACATATGCTAAATTGGGTTAATAATAACTTAGGAAAAGATATCCAGTTAAAGTCAGTTATTTTTTTTCTCCATTTTCAGTTCAACAGAAAAAAATATTTTTTCAACACATTTATAAACATAATATTTTGAATATCTCATTTTTAATAACTGATTTATTTTATCTTTGCCATAATGACAATAAGTATTATTTTACTAGATATTTTTCAACACTTCTATACAGCTTAAAGTGACAATTAAAGGATTAACCAGGTTAATTAGGTTAACAAAGCAGGTTACGGTAATTATGCAAGTTATTATATAAATATGGTTTGTTCTGTAGACTATCGAAAAAAAAAATTTGCTTAAAGGGGCGAATAATTTTGACCATAAAATGTTCTTTAAAAATAAATAAAAATAAGTAAAAATAAATTTTACTCTAGCTAAAATAAAACAAATAAGACTTTCTCCAGAAGAAATATATTATCAGATATACTGTAAAAATGTCCTCGCTCTGTTAAACATAATTTGGGAAATATTTAAAAAAAAGGGAAAAAAAAATTGGTAATAAATAATTCTGACTGTACATAGATAAGGAGAGATTTAAAATATTATTTTTAAATATTTTTTTTTAAAGATAATAATAATTAAACTATATTTTATATGTGTATTTTGTGCTTGGTACCTCAATTGGCTTAGGCCTTTTACAGGAAAGAAAAGAATAAAAATGTCAAATAAAGTGGGGGCAAATCTCCGTCTTCATACATCATTCATTGTTTTGCTCAAAATCAATGATTCATTTAGAAATGAAGCAGGTGGCTGCGTCCAAAACACACTCTCCCTCACTCACCCATACACTCATTCACACACATACACTATGAACAATTAAGCTTACCCAATTTACCTACAGCACGTCTTTGGACTTGTGAGGGAAACCAGAGCAACAGACGCCAAACAGAAACACCAACTGACCCAGCCGAGGCTCGAACCAGCGACCTTCTTTCTGTGAGTCAACAGCGCTACCCACGGCACCACCACGCCAACCACATCTGCACTAGTATTTGCATAAATCAATCTGATTGGATGACGTCTCCACGATGACGTATTTTAACTTCTGCAGTCAGCAATGGTGGCAATGCAACTCTGCAATGCTTAATGTCACTGTATTCAAAGTCAATGGGAGGCATTAACAAAGTCACCCCAAGTGTATAGGACGTTATGAGTTCTGTGATATCAGACATGCCTCTTTTGCCACACACATTTTTAATAAATTTTTAAAAATTTTTTTTTTTATAGGTATATAGTATGAAATATGCGATTTTAGGCCAAATCATTAGCCGATTAGCCAATTCAATATCTAAATCAAAACAAAACAATTGTTTTGCTCTGAAACAAACAAACGCTCTGGGGTCTGATTTATAAAATTTGCTTTGATTAAAGTGTAAAAAAATTAATTAATCAAATTAGCTTTGATTTAGCAACTTTTCTAAAAGTGAAACTAGAATAAATTAGATTTTTAAAAAATGATTATGGGTCATTTTCAGATTTAAAGTGATCTAATTAAGTTAATATTTAAGTTAAATATGTTTACGTAATGTTTACCTACAGCTGCGCACACTCTCCCATCAAAATTTGTTTTTTTTAAAGATCCCAACTTTTGTGTGGAAAGTGGCTTTATATTTGATATTTATAAATGAGACCTCCTGCTCTGGCTTTGGATATGTTATACAATATAAAAATCATGTATATGAATATATATCTTTTTAATAGGTTTCGACATATAGTAATTGCTCCTAGAGATTTTAGTTTTGTTTTTTCACATATTCAATAATAATTTTTGATTCTGCCACAATACTAAGATGTTGCAGTGCAGTTGTTAAATTGTTTTGATGGTATTAAAATGTAGTCCCTAAGGTGCCACTAGTTTTTCATGACATTCCGGATTCTAAATATTGCTTGGTTAAATTATCTGTGGAAAAAAAAAAACTGCAATCCTAAGTAGGTGTGACCCCGAAACTAAACACTCACTCAGCCCTATTTTATCAGGACTGTGCCCTTGAGCAAGACAGTTCTCCCAAGGTTTCTCACAGATTAGTGTTCTTCCAGTCACTTTGAACAAAAGCACCTGCTAAATGACAGCTATCCGAGCAAGATGAAAGCCTTATGCTCTGTGAGTCTAAGGAACGGACACAAGAACCGAGTCTCTGTGTAATTGACTGGACATGTGTTACTTACTCAGTTGCTCTCGCAGGTTGTTGATTTGGACAGAAAGTTCTTCCCTCTGTTTGATTGCCGACTCGCGCTGTAACAAAAGACAGAAGAAACAAAACCATCAACAGTCATCCAGGGCAATCACATACAAGGACAGATGAAGATTACATGTTTAACAAAGGTTTTGTCTAGAATAATTAGACTTATGTAAATAGAATCAAAAATTCAAAATAAAAGTAATAACTAAATTTGATTTGAAATGATAAATATTCTAGTTAAAATGGAGTAAACAGCTTAATTTTTGTTACACAAATTGAAAAATAGACACAAATAATACACCTCTTTAACTACACTGAAGTCATATTTATTGGATATATAAACATAATGAAGTTAAAGCCTATGCGATAGCATCATTGTGAGGTTTTCTGTAAACATAACCTTTTTAGTTTTAATTAAATTTAATTATCCTAAATTGGCTTTTAAATGTTTAAATATTCATGCTCCAATGCTGTTTTTAGTCACACTTTATTCTGATGGTCCATTTGTTGAAGTAGACTGTTAGGACTCTTAGGCTTATTGTAAGTTGACATGTACTTGCAAAGTTTCTTATAGTCAGTTAAATGTCTGTTGAAGGAGCTGTATCAACAGATATTAAGCAGACCGACTACTAATACTCAAATGGACCAGCAAAATAAAGTGTTACCTTGTTTTTTGATCTAATCAGTAGACATCAAACCTCTCACAGAGTGCCAAAGTGTAAGACCTCTTTTAGCTAATCTGTTTTTTTTTTGTTAAGGGAACTAAAGTGTCCAATTATTTACCTGTTAGCCTAAAATTAGACAGTAATTTAAATATTTAAGTAGTGTTTTTAAAAAGTGGTTAAAAACAAAACAGCAGTGTTTGCGCAAATAGTCTACTATTAGTTTTTTTAAATCATGCTGCCTTTGCTATTGCCTTAAAGTAATTTTATGTAAAGAGTTATAATGTTGTATATATGTATCTATTTTATTTTCACTTTGTCAAGCCTCCTCTGGACAGGTGTTGAGAATTATTTGTTGAATTGTTGAGAAAGTCTGCTTAAACACGTAAAAAAATGCTATTGGTTGTCCAGTGTAATTGTGGCGTCCAATAAACAAACAAACAAACATACAAACAAACAAAAAAACAAACGAAATTCAAAAATTAATGTATACATTCAAACATTTAAAAGTCGAGTAACAAATTACTGGTCCAACAAAGTAAATCTAGGAGACAGAAACTCTATTGTTAGCTAAAATAAAACAAAAATCTGTTAACTAAAAAAATGCTAAAATATTTTTTCTTTAAATAATTAAATATATAAATAACATATGAAAATGTAATCTTGTTTTGATACAAAAAAGTTTGTTAAAGTAAATAAACCAAAATAAATGAGGTTTAAACAAAACATGAGCATTTAAAAAAACTAAAAAAGACAAAAGCACATACCAAACATAATATTCAAGGACAAAATTCATTAATTAGAATAAAATGCATATAAAAAAATGACAGTATAAAAATAAAAGCTAATTATTAAAAGTCAAAATTAAAGTACTAAAACTGCAATATAAAATTGAAATAAAAACATGCAAAAAACAATGAAAAAACATTAAGCACAAAATTAAATCAATTGTACTTTATTCAATTCGAATAATATAATTGTTGGTAAATAATGGTAAAAAAAATGCTGGGAAACACTATATATATATATATATATATATATATATATTTATTAACTAAACTGCTACTTAAGCTTAATGAATTATATGATTAATACTAAATAAATAAAAAGAAATCTGTTCTATCATTGTTATAAATAAATATATCAGTCATTTTAATGTGGTTACTTTTTTCGTATTACTTGTACCATATTGTAGATAGATTTTCATTAATATAAGACAGCAACATTGATTACTACGAGTCACTCATTGAAATTCCATTAAAAATGCTACAATATACCACTCAATTCAACCCTACAAATGCTTCCAAAAGCCAACATATTTTATAGTCCATTTTACACAACAATAAAAACCCCCTCTCCTTGGATTCAAAGCTCAAACATGCTACAACCCTCAAGTCATGCAGTGATTTCACTCATTACGTGTGGCTCGCAGCTACAGACGCTGTCAGTATTGGCAGAATAAGTTGTTATTGTTGGATAGGAACCATCTCAATCAGCTTCTTATCAGCAGGCATGATCAAGGTTCAATGCGAGACTCATTTAAATGTTCCAGGAAAGACGTATGTGTCTGTCTGTGATTAAGAGACGGCTAATGTTACAGTAACCTCCACACAACCAAAGCTCATATACCGCCTCAGACAGATTACAAAGTTCTGTGATAAACATTGTCGAACATGTGACGCAAAACATAACAGAACATGCTGACACACACATTTTTTACTTCCATACCGTGCTCAAACTATCTGTTATGATTACTATACTCTAAAAACACACCATTTCACAGGCAGAGATAAGAGGACAGGACTTTACACATTGAGGTTTTATATCGTCACATTTGTTCATTTTAATATATTGTTAACTGTATTGCTTACCACACTACTTTGAATATTCGGTCTGAAATTGCATGCAAGTAAGACTTCAAAACAACATCTGCACTATTTAATTGACTGAACTTTGAAAGAATGTTGTACTTTGAAAGTCATTGGCATTGATTTCACTATCTGAAATTATATTATTAAGAAGAATGTCCGAATGTGTAAACATAAAGCCAACTTATTGAGGTAAAGTTGGTTTTATATTAACACATTCTTACTTTACTCCTTAATAATATACTTTCAGAAATGGGTTGTTTGCCAATTCTAAATAGTAAAATCATATTAACAGCCAATGACTATCAAAGTTTTACATTGTTTACAGTCAGTTAAATAGTGCTAATGTTGTTCTGAAGACAGACTTGCATATGATTTCAGACCGAATATTCACCATGGTAAACACTTAGCATATCACAAGTTGTCAGTGAATGAATGTGTGAATGTAAAGCTAACTTTACCTCAATAGCTAAAACTCACCCCACTAGTTTACACTGCTAACACACACAAATGACTTCAATGACTCTAAAAACAAATGATAGACTGCTTAATTTCATTTCTGAAAACACCCGAGAAGAACAAACAATCTATATTAGTCCAATCGTAATCACAGATGTACAACATATGCTACTTTCATGCAATCACAGACAATGATGAATCATCAAATAAGCTTTGAAACTAAAGATCCTGAGAAACACAATCTATCAACACCAGGAGTTTCAAACTAGCCATTAAAAAAAATAAGAACCAAACCCCACCTTTTGACTCTTCTTGTTTACCAGAGGTTTCTTCAATCCAGGTTTGCTCCCGGTGGAGCCCATGTTCTCCTCAAACTCCCGCTCCTTCTCTCTCCTCTCCCTTACCCGTCACACAACCCAACAATCTTCAACTACTTTGCTCTTTTTGCTCTGCTCTAGAAACTGGTCTGTCAGCATCAGTCTCCAAGCACGCTGCATTGGAAACCATTCCCTCCCTATCAGCGACCTGCCCCCGTATTCCTTCTAAGAGAGAGGGAGTGGAAACCCAGATAAGAGAAAATGGAAAAGTTGAAGGAGTGAGTAGGTGGAAAACTTTGCGGTTATGAAGAAAATGCTCTCTTTTTTTGTAGTTCCTACGGCCAAGAAGTTTGATTGGTGCTGATATACTGAGACTATATGAGAGATGAATCATATTTCGCCATGGAAAGAGAGAAGTCCAAAAGGTGATATCAGAGTTATGTAACGTGGCTGTTCTATAAATGAGATTGTGCTCGGTGTGTTGGAGTTTATATAATATTATGGTCAACATGGGGACTGTAACACTGCAGCAGATCTGCAAAATTGTTTAGTTACAGTGAAAAACGTGTAAAGAATCAGGAGGGACGAGTAAAGGTGTGCATTTAAAACAAACTGGAGTCAAATTCAAATGCAATGAAGGCAGTTCAAGAACACACAAATAATCTATTTGCATGTTTTTGAATGCTGTATGTTTTTGAAACTAGTTTTAATCAAATTTAATTTCAGGGAACAGTGCCCTTTTTCAAAAAATGAGTATGACAACACTGAAAAAAATGAACCATTGGATATACAAATTTTTTTTATAAGGTAAGTGGTTGCAAACAAATTATATTGGCTGAATTTAAACAAACAGTTAAATTTAGTAAGTGTTAACTTAATTTGTTTGTTTAAAATCAGCCCATGTAAATTGTTTGCAACTACTTACCTTATTAAAAATTGTAAATCCAATTAATCATTTGTTTTTTAGTGTTGTAACTATGTTCAGACGGTTCATTCCGTTATGGTGACCACTGATTAATAAATGCAGAGCTGAAAAGAAAATGAATGAATGAATGAACTATATTCAATGAAATACGGTAATGTGCAAAGATATGGGTGGATCTGGAGAAACATAGCTCTACTGTAATCATCCAAACAGCTGTGAGGTGGGCTTATATGCCCCGCCTCTTCCCAAAGCCCCACCCCCTGAGGCTCAATAGCAGCTGGTGCATTCCTCACAGCAACATCCCTCCCTCCTCCTCTCTGCCCGCTATCAATCACTCTGGGTGACACAAGGGCTAAAACCGTCAACTTTCCCCAAAGTAAAGTCTGTCCTTTTTTCATGAGTGGAAAGAAAGTGGAAGATTTGTGTGTTTCCAAGACAGTATGTACTCTATGTGAGGTTTCTGGAGTAAAAGTGTAAGAATCTTTGAAGTAACCTAGGTGTATTTTTTTTTCTTTTATCTGTTTGGATAAGAAGAATTGATGGCAGGAAGACTTGCTGTTTCGGAGAGATAAGAAGATAAGATGGGAGATTTGCATTATATATAGGACACTGAGGAATGCATGGAATGAGATGGATAAAAAAGGGAAAAACGGGATGAAGTTTGAAAGAAAGAAAGAAAGAAAGAAAGAAAGAAAGAAAGAAAGAAAAAGAAAGAAAGAAAGAAAGGAGTTGTGGGTTTTGGGTATATCTGTATGCCTGGGGTCTGGATTAGACTGGGTGTGGGGTGCACATTATTTACATATTTACACTAGCATTACCGCA